CTATCTCCTGGAAGTGGGTAGGGAAACACATGTGATGTCTGCATGTTGAAAACTTCACAGATTCAGTTGGAAGGGAACTACAAGGATCATCAAGTCTGAACAGGACAATCCCAGGAATCATACCAAATGCCTGAGAGCCTTGTCCAAACACTTCCTGAACTCTGTCAGATTTGGTGCTGAGACCACTTCCCTGGGGAGCCTTCCAGTGCCCAACCACACTCTGGGTGAAAAACCTTTTCCTACCACCCTATGTAAACCTCCCTTAGCACAGCTCCATGACGTTCCCTTGGACCCTGTCACTGATCATAGCAGAGACTGGTACTGTCCCTCTGTTGTCCCTCCTGTGGAAGCTGCAGCCCATGATGAGCTCTGTACTCAGTCTCTTCTCCAGGTGGAACAAGCCAAGTGACCTCAGCTCCTCATGGCTTTCACTCTAGACTCTTCACTATCTTCATGTCCCTCCTCTGGATGCTCTCTAACAGCTTTACATCTTCTTGTATTGTGACACCTAAATCTGCACACCAGACACACAGCAGTGGCCACGCAGTGCAGAGCAGGACGCTCACCTCCCTTGACTGGCTGGCAGTGCTGTGCCTGATACACCATGGGACATGGTGGGGGCCCATTTTGGCTGCCAGAACACACTGGTGACAAGTTGGTGGCAGGACAGTCAGGGCTGAGAGCAGCTGACTACCAAGGTAGAATTCAGCCTTCTCATTCTGGTACAGAGATTGCAATGGCAGAACTATCTGAGGAGCAAAGACTGCCAGGCACCCTTGAGAAAAGGCTCAGGACTCAAAGATGTCAGAGCACAGCAAAGGGTCACCACAGACAGACCTCTTCCCAGTTTGCAGAGACCGAGGCTGCCCAACAGAGGTCTTCACACACACCTTCAGCTCACCCTCCAATAAACAACCCCTATTCCCACCCTGTTACTCTGGAGCCAGATTGAAGAACACTTCCAGCTTTTTTTTGCTCTCAAACTGTGCCTGAAGAAGGACTCAGCCCAGCACCCTGGCTGCCATCTCTGCACTAAAAACCTTCCCATCTTCCTCAGGTTGAGCCCTCCTGCTCCAGGAAAGTGCTGCTGAGAACACAGCAGCTCACTTGGCAAAGAAGGCCTCCTGACACCAGCACCCAGGACCAACAGCTTGCTTTGTTAGGGCACAGAAAGCCTGTGACATTCCTGGTGGTACTGCACAGGAGGATGAGCCAGGCATTTCCTTGGGCTAGCCAGCAGACAAGGAGATATGGATTTATCAGAGCTTCAAACACTCAAGGGCTTTGGGTGATGAGTGGGATTTCCAGATAAACTTTAAGCTACTTACAGCCTCTGCAAACTCCCTTAGATCCTCTGATGAAGATGAATAACATGAGATATACTTAGAGAACCACAAAAGCTGGAGACATGAAGCACTAAAACACACATCTCCCTTTTCTCCCTTCTTCCCACTAGGCTTGGCTTTACAGAGAAGTTCTAATAGTCATAAACCTACAGAGGCAGAGTCAAGTGCTACAGGCAAACTCCAAAGTTGTGCAAGACATGTAATTTTCCACTCATGGAGGCCAGGAAGTGGATCTCAAACTCTGGGCAGACAGGGAGATCCCAGAGCAGTTTCAGGTGGTGTTGGAACAGTTGTGATTATGGTGGGCATGCCTTGGGAAAATCCCCATCAGGAAACAGGACTCACCCACAGAGGTACTGTCCACTCAAAGGGAGGGACAAGCTCCACCATAAAGGTCAGAGCTCCTTGCCTACCCCATTTGGAAGATACATGGAGACTTCACTGTTCACAACAGCAGCAGCTCTCCTGCCCTCATCCTGGGACAGGCTAGTGGCCATCAGGATCTAACTGCTCCTGGCATCCCAGCAGCCATAGTGGAGACCAGAGGGATTCAGCAGTGGGCTCTTCTCACTGACCATTCCCATGCACAGCACCTTACAGTGATGCTGCAGCATTCACTGGCCTTGGGGACCACTTTGCAACCTTCCTCTGCACACACCTCCCAGCACAATCCTCCTCTCTTCCTCACCAGGCACACCTAGCTCTTCTGCAGGCCTTCAACTGTAGAGAGGGAGAGGAGTGACACCAAGCAGGGAAGAGAGCTCATCTTGCCCCAGTCACTCCTGAAGGTCCCTGCTGAGGGGCCTGATGAGCTGGAGAGGCACAGAAACTCTGCCCTGCAGATACAGGGAGCAGCAAGGCGCCAGAACTATCTGTGTGCTCTCGTTATCACAGGCATGCTGCTGCAACAACAGCACCTTATCACTGCCCTCAAGTCAGAGCTCCTCACTGTCCCACTGAGAACTCCACAGAGCTCAGGCTGCACTTTGAGGTCCCAGCTCATCCCCCAAACCCAAGTGCTCCCAAAAAAACATGAATGCAATCCGCATGTAGAGAACGGCACCGTCCCGGTCTCCAGAAAGGGACAGGCAGGGCAAGGATCCACTCTCCAACCCTGTTATCCACAGAGTTTGGGGGCTCCTCTCCTCTCCTTGGTATCAGAGCAGCTCAGGCAGATCCCAGAGATCCCCAGGGCGTGCTTCATCCTGGGTGGGTTTGGTACTTCAGTGGGTTCCCTCATCCCCATCCTCAAGTCATCCTTCAAAGGGAGCAGGGACAGTCACGCGCAGCAATGTCAAAGCTCCTCTCCATTTACCAGAGCACTGCTGCTTCAGCACTTTCCAGTGGCTAATGGAGTGGCTCAGTACCACGAGAGGAGCAGGTCGATGGGGAGGCAGGGGGGAAGACACAAGTAGCTCCTGACTGCCCTGCTGGAGGTTAACCAGCTGCAACGGGAGATTATCGGGAATTTCAGCAATCTTGTGGTGGTTTACTTCCCCCCTTCCCTGCAGTCTCCAAATCCTTCATTAACTTCTTACACTAAGAGAGGAAGAGTGCAAAAGTTAAATGAGCTCTGACAAGTTTTCAGAAGGGTCTTTAAGCATCCTCCACTTCTTTTGCTATTAATTAGCAACGAGGAAGAACCACCACCGGGAGAGGCTTCGGCACAGACCGAACGGCTCTTGCTGCTGCCCGCGCACGCTTCAGCTCAGCTCAAATGCTCTCAGAGGGCCCCAAAAGAGACACCAGAGAAACCCAGTTCTTGCAGCACTTCCCACAGCTCACGCTGCAATCTTTCAAGGGCACCGTGTTTAACTTAGCAGCACTGCACTAAGTTGCTCAAGTGGCTGAAAAACAGCTTACTCCATTTTGCAGCTGGTTTATTTTTCTGATCAGGTTTTTGCCTCTCAGCATTGCAGTTTAAAATGTAACTGATACTCTCAGACCAACCACTGTGAGCTGCAGGGTGTTTCTGTAATGAGACCCTCCTCACTCCAGCACCAGGCACAGCAGAAGCCCCCATGGCACTCATTCCCACAGAGGCTTGTGGAATACCTGGAAGGATGCTGTGCCTCCATCCCTCTCTGTGTTTAGGAACCAGAGCAGAAGCAGCACAGTCTGTGCAAGGTCACAGAGCAAGAAAGTTTGCGGGAGCGCTTGGTCTCAACTCCAGTGCCACATGCCAGCCCTCTCCATCTGCCAGGGAGGATGGCAAGCGCCTGGCTCATCCGATCAATAGGAATCAGACCTGGGGCATTCTGCCACTGAGGATGCAATGCAAGACACACAGCTTCAATCTAATAGACAAGAGCAGCCCCTGGAGACTGGGCAAAGGGAAAAAAATCCTAAGATTCAAGAAGTAGGAAAATGGGCCCCACGAGACTCTTCTTGCACTTTGTTCTTATCCACTGCTTCAGTCTCAGGCCTTCCTGAAAATGAGGCATTGTCCCAAGGCATATTATGAAATTCCCAGACCACGTCACACAAGGAGAACACAGCATTTGCGAGGGGGACGGGTGGGGGAGAAATCCCAGACTATTCCAGGAAATGCAAGGAGACATCCCTGAAATGACTTCCCCCTCCAGCCAGGAGGGGAAGGGAGGACCTCCCACCTCGCTCCCTGTACCCAGCCAAAACTAGGTCAGTGACACAGCCCTGCTCGCAGCCAGAGCTCCTCTCCAGACACCAGGACACATGGAAGAGTCCAGCCAGGAGGGTGAAGGGGGTAACCTTGCCCCTTCCCATAGCCTTGACACGTTTCCTGCAAGAGAGCCCAGCTGGCCCCTCAGCCCTGTTGAAGAGGCAGGCAGTTCCTCCTCTGCTTCCTCCTCAGCACCACAACACTGCCAGCTGGCTTGAAAGAGAAAACCCACTTTAGGCTTTCCCTGGCCCTTTATCAGACAAAACAAAGGAAAAAATAAAGATCCCCACACCTTGCTTTCAAAGGCTTCTTCTGCTTCTTTTCCAGTTTCTACTGCTGGGAACTACTACACATGACTGGCAACCCTCAAACACCTTCAGAAGAGACACAAGGTGCTCAGCCTGGTTGCAAACCCCAAGGTCTTAAGCTACAGCACCCTCAAGACCAGTATCCCCCAAGTCAAGGGGGGGTGGGGTGGGGGGTGCCACATCCACTGCTTCATATCCTTGAGCCAAAACACCTCCCTTCTAGAAAGCCTCCTCCCTTNTGACGAGCGGAGCGGGGGGAGGTCCCGGCCCGGGAGGGCTCGGCGGCCCCGCGGGGCCTTTCGGCGGCGATGGCCGGGGCTGAGGCGGTCTGGAGTCGTTTGCGCGGAGATAACGCCTTAATTCACGGGGCACTTAATTTCTAAACTTAATTAGGTCTTGTATTTTTTTAAAAAATACATTTTTAGGCCTAATATGCGGTATTGCCACTTCCCACACGTCTTTCATCATTTCCTTTTGCCGGAGGTGCTCAAGGCCAGCGTGGATGGGGCCCAGAGCAACCTGGTCTAGTGAAAAACGTCTGCGAATGGCAGGGGTTGGAACGCGATGAGCTGTAAGGTCTCCTCCAACACAAACCTTTCTATGATGTTTCTTTCTAGGTGTTTCCCGGAGACTGTTACTGATACTGTCTCACTGCCAAATAAATGACTGAGTGTTGCTCGATTAAAATAAAAAGTGGGTTATATTTTTTTGTAAATAGCAAAAAGGTCAGCTTGTGGTTGTGAAGCTGATGGTGACAGTAGAACGCTGCTCAGAGTTTGCTCATGTGCTGTTGTAGAAGTTGTTCTTACATCCTTGGAATTTTTAGTGGCTAGACTAAAAAACAGGACAGGGCTTGGAGCAACCTAGTGAAGCTACGACTTGCCCATGACAGGGGTTAGGGACAAGATGATTTTTAAGGTCCTTTCCAACCCAAGCCATTCTAGGATTCTGTTCTAAGAAACATGGGGGTTTAAAGGTGTTTGCAATAGCTTAACAAAGCTGAATACAGTGGGTGAACTATGAACTACTTCAGCAGGAAACCTAGAAATATTTTTAAAAAATATGTCTGGAAGCTCTCTTGTCTCATTTGTCCTGTGCTGGAGCAGTAACAGCTCTACCTTCACCATTTCAAACCAAGGCATTGAATCCTGAGTGCTGCATCCAGCCTACCCTCTGTAAGCTCACAAAGCTTTTCACTTTTGTACCTCAAAAGCTTTGTATTAGCTTTCCTCCCAGAAGCGTTAAAGCAGCCTTATCTGCTGCTGAGGATTTGCCCTCGAGAAACCAGTCATGAGATACGAGGGTACATCTTCCTACATCACAGGTTCACGTTGCATCTGGCTCAGGAGATAGGAGGCCTCATGACTTTATTGCTTACTCATAACGTCTGGTGTGTGGGAGCAGAAGGGACAGGTGTTGCTATCCCCTGCTGCAGCTGTTGGTTTCAGTGTCGCTCCTGCACTGGCACAAACCTTGGCACAGGGTGAACACGGGGGTTTCGGTCACTTTGCTTTACTCTGGTGTGATCTTCCTGGAGCTGTTCTGACCTGCCTTCTGTCCCATATGAAACCAGAGAACAACTGTGGCTGGGGCTGCCAGACTGCTGCTTCAGGCTAAACTCATCTATATATTTATGTCTGAGATTTTTTTAGGAGTCTGCAGGAACATTTTTGCAGGTGGGAAACCTGAGCTTGAGAAATTGGAGCACCTTGGCTGAAATCATCCAGTGCCAGTCTTGAGCTCTGCATGTAGGCCACACTATCTCCAAAGTCTCTACCCTAAAAACAACCTGAATGGAAACAAGAATCAAAAGAGCGGGCAGGTGTTACATTTATAACCAGTACACCTTTGCAAGCACTGCAGTTGTCTTTGTTCGTCATGCTGGAGTGTGTCATGAGAAAACTACAGCACCCACCCTGTACCACATCAGAAAATCACTGTGCTTTGGGCTTGTGCTACCTACAAGTGTCATTTTTTGTACAAGCTGACAGAGGTGGCAGTCTGTGTACTCTTCTGATTTAAACAAGACCCACAGGCCCTTCTTGGGCTGTTTGTACTATCAAAAGGACAGTAAAACTCATCCAGTGCTGATATAGAACCATTTGTAACAACTCAGTATGTGGATGGAGGTTAGGTATGCAGGGAACTGGTATTGCTTGTTAAGAGTTTGCAGCTCTTGAAAAACAGCATAGCTGTGTCAAATTGGGTTGGTGTGTTACCTTTCAGGTGGAGAGTGGAGCTAAATTGAAAGCTACTGAAAGTTCAGACATGAAAAGCAGTTTTCCTTGGTTTGCCTAGCAGAAATCAAGTGAAATGCCAAAGTAGTTGCTTGAAGTCTGAGAAGTTGCTGCCTGGGCTGTAGGTTCAGAGCAGGTTCTCAAATGTGCGGTGCTCCTGCTGTGCTTACTCATGTCATTGTTATTCCTGAACAGCAGTTCTAGCTATCCACAGTGTTTTTTTAGGATAAAAACTGCTTTCAGGTTGGTTCGTTCAGTTTCAACTCCCCCCTTCTGGAAGGTTGTGCTGTAAAGACTGACATATGACTATACCAAGCACATTAAATGATAGCTGTTTGGTTTTTTCCCTGTGCCTAGATAAGACTCTTGTATCACAGGGAACTGTTTGTTGCTATAAAACAACTTGTGACCCATCAGAGTAGCAGCCTGACATGTGAAACGTTTTACTTCATTCTGATTGGTCTTTACATTTTATGATGTTTGGTGCCTGGAAGAAAACAGTTTACCAGTGTTCATCATTGAAAACAATTTGTAAGGATTTATGAGATCCTGGTGCCAACACCAGAAAAAATAAACTTGTATATGAAATTATCAATCACTTTAAATTGACATGGTTTTTTTCTGTTTCGAGGAAAGATGGCCCGAACTGTAGGAAATATGTCTCCTGACTAGCTCTTCATCACATGTGAAAGCTCTGATTACTGTAGTGGCTTTAGTGATCCTCATTTTAATTTCTCAGAAGAAAAATGTGTACCATCTGGGAAAAGTTATTACTTCTGTTGATTTGTTTGTTTGGTTGGTTTTTTTGGGAGGTTTTTATAGATGCAGTAACTTACTTTTTTTGCAGGTTTTGTTCTGTGCTTTGCAAGGTGCTGTGGAGTCTAGAAAGCTGGAATTGTTTGTTTATCATTTAGAGATCTTTAAACTAGCTGCTTATTTACAGCATTAGATTTAGGACTAGGGAAACCTTGCCAGAAAATTACTGCCTAGGAAAAAGTACTGAAAAGGGGTTGTTCCTGGAACAGTAAAAGTGGTGAAATGGGGTTTGGTTTACCATGATCTCCTCTTGAAACTCTGCAGGCAGCTCGAGCTATTTGCCATGTGGTCTCTAGAGAAGAATGGGTCCGTGATGCTGTTTTTCCCCTTACTTGGGGTATTTGCAAGGAGGGGATGGGCCCTGGCTGAAAAAGCTCATTTTTGACTATCCATCATTTGTGATGGGTATTCTGCTGTCAGATCTGACTGAAATTGAGTGGGATTTCTGTGTTGTCTGTCAGGTTTTAGTGATGCTTGTAAGTAGTAACGGTGGGACATCTGAAGTCTCGTTACATCCATGCTGAGAGCACTTAAAATCCTGAACAGCATCAGGAGATACATCCTGAGCCTTCAGAGAGGCAGCTTTGAAGATGACAGCAGTTAGTGTGAAGAATGTGGGGCATATTCTGATTTTGTACTGTGAGTGCACAAAACCCTATTGAAGTCATATCTATGTTTATGGGCTGAACTGTTCAGCTTTTCGAGTAAAATTTTCCTTTATTCTTTTGGCATTTAAACAAGATGGTCAGCCAGTTCATTCTGCACAAAAAGAGGGGGACACAATATCCACACAGTCCTTTTCTAATTTTTTTTTTTTTTTTCCTAATGGCCTTTAAGTTATCTCATAGCCTTCTTTACAAGCAATGCCAAAGTAAATTCTGATGCCTCTTGGCCATCTCTCATTTTTGGAGACAAGCCATACACAAATGGTTGCACTTCTATCTCCCAGTACATATATAATTAAATCTGGCCCTGCAATGAAAGAGAGAGACTGAGAAAGTTCCTGAGCAGGAGCAGAGGCTGATTAATACAGATTATTAGAGACTGCTGATTGAAAGGTTGCAGCTGTGATTGCCGTAGCAGGAAGAAGGGAGCAAGGTCTTAGTGCTCATGATGTTGTCTGCCAGGTTTTGTCTTCAGTTTATGCTAGAAAGATGTTTCTGTGTGCTGTCCTGCATCCCAAAATCAAACACTATGCCCATTGCCCCTCTGTACTTTAAGGGGATGTTACTTTCCTGAATTCCTCCCTAAAGCCATGTGTTTTGACTGAGCAGCTGAGCTGACAGGTATTATTTGGTTTTGTTCTGTGTTTTTCCTTAACAGGCAACTGCGATGTCGGTGGATTGCTTGGGACAGCGTGCTGTACTCTCGGGGTGAGTGTGACAGTCCCCGTTAGAAGTGACAGTCATTTCCACAAGCCAGACCAGCAACCTTCAGGCTGACCTCAGCTGGAGGGTTGATGGATTGTTTCAGAAAGGTGCAGCTGAATTCTGTTCAAGGCTTAATGGAACCAATTCTGGGTCATGTTCCCAATGGGGTTCAGAATGGAGAGACAGCAACAAGAGCACAATAAAATACTGGTGTGGCTTTCCTGGTAAATTCTTTCCCAAATCTCCATATGGGAGATGGAGCATCATGAGGTACTACTTGGATTGTCTTGAAATATGGATTAGATTATTTCTTAACAAAATTTTCCCCAAATATTCCCATGGGGCTCTCTGACCTGCTTCTCGGCTGGTTCAGTATGGGATGATACTCATAAAACACAGTAGGTGCCACAGACTTCCAAGTTGCCCAAGTTTTCAGGACAGCTTGGTCTTATGTACCCACCTCCAGGGCAAGTCTTCAATTAGCTCAGCAGTGCCTTTCCAGCTCCTGCATTTTAGTACTAACAGCTATTCCTGTCCCCCTGTCAGTGACACAATTGCCACACCAATTAGGATGTTCATTTCAGAATCATGTGAGTGTAGCTGATCTTTGGTCAGCCTTCAAGTAGCCAGGTCCTTTGGTACAGCTCGAACCCATGCTTGCTTTCATGTAAACCCTTAGTCTGGCAGCGCTGCACAGGAATAACAGGAGGAATAACAGGAGTGCTCAGAGAACCTGTATGGTAACTTTGCAGCTGAGAGATGATGCTCATATGGTTAATTATGTAGGGTTCATTATGTTTTGATGCTGGTCTTCCATAGGGTTCAGCTGGCACACAGTTATTTCTGGGCAGTTTATTTTGCTTGTAAGATGAATCACACAGGATGATACCTTGCTTTGTGGGGAATTGGCCATATCCAGCAGGATGTATGAGCTCAGGTTTGCCATCATGCAGAATTATTTCTGCTGCATATAGAGTTAGCTCAGGTAAGTAATGGAACCAAATCTGTGCAGGACTGTGTCCACCCACGTTAACAAGCTGCTGCAGCTAAGCATCAGCTCTGTGCAGGTGTTTTTGTACTGTCGGTGGAACCAAGCCCTCAAACTGGTGTGGAAAGAAGCACCCACGTAGAATCATCTTTGTCAAGGCTCATTAACTCTTGCTCAGAGCAAGATATCCAGGCTGAAGCTGTTGCACTGCACTCCCAGGCCTGTGCCACTTAGGCTCTGCTGCTGCAGCATTAGGCCTGCAAAGCCTATTTGAATGTGTTTGCACCATTTCCCAGCACTTCCTTTTGTATCCAAGTTATCTGGGTTTTTCTGTGGTGTAAGCTATCTATTACATTTGAAGATCCTGTTTACTTTCACTGTGTCTTGTCTTTGTTGGGGGGGTTGTGTTTTTTTTTAAAGTCAATTTTGAATATGTAGTCAAATGTAGCATTTTCAGAAATAGTGCTTTCACTTGTCTTGTGAAATGCTTCTCCTCTTTTGGTTTTTGTGCCTCTAGATACAAGGCTGTGAGCTCCATGTGAGCTTGGGGTTGTGAGATGCAGCCCCTTTGTGTCTGTGTGTCTTGCAGTCGCCGTTTCCTCTATATTGTCAACCTGGATGCGCCAAATGAGGGTCACCGTAAGATCTCCCGGCAGAGCAAGTGGGACATTGGGGCGGTGCAGTGGAACCCCCACGACAGCTACGCCTACTACTTTGCAGCTTCGGTAAGTTTACTCACTTAAAAGCTGTAACTCATCGACTTCTCTGGTATTTCTTTCATGGGTGAGCCTCTGCAGAGCTGGAAGGCTGTGTGGAGCTGGCACAGACATGATTCTGCAAGTCACATTGCAAGATCAAGGCCTAACTCTGATTTACTGCCAGCGAGTTGTTCAGCTTGATGGCTTTCAGTTATTGGGCAGTCAGGGTTGAATCTAGTTTTGCTTTCTTGTCATTTACAAAACACTTTGCCAAATAAATCAAGCATCCAAATGGTCCTTTCCTGGAGTAAAGTGCTCTCTTTCTGATTTCTGGTCTGAGATTTGTGCACTTCTTGAATTTTTTTGCTCCGTGCTGTTTTGTTTTCACCTCCCTGTCTTGCTGCTCGGCTGTGGTGCACCAGGCAGTCTGTAAATCACACATGTCAATACTGGCTTGCAGCCTGGGGTTTGCAGCTGGGCATGGACTGGATCGGTGAGGAGTTGCATGGGGCAGTGGGCTGGGCTGAAGAAGCAGTAATGGCTGTGTGAGACCAACTGCAGTTTTTGGCTCTGCTCTATACTTGGTTGTCATGCTCTGCAGTTTGTTCACCCAGAGCCCTGAGCTCTGCTGGTGGAAATCTCAGCCATCACCCACAGCACTGTGGCAATTGGCATCAGCCAGGTGCAGACTGTTCCCAGGGTGCCTTTTCTGATGTGTTGTATCTGCTTTTGTAGCCTGAGAGTCCTGGACTAACTAGGGATGGAGAAATCTCTCCATCTATTCTTTTGAGAAAACACCTTAAGGTGATTTCTTAGGATTTTTGTTCCTCTTGCTTCCTGGGTTTGCTGTGTTTTTAATTAAAGGCAGTTTTAAAAGTGGACTGGTGCTGTCAGCTGGGATCCTCTGCCTGTTTGCTCTCTGGAATTCCCCAGCCTGTGTCTTCCCAGCTCTGGCACATGACTGATGTCTTAAAGGTGCCTTCAGCAGTAGTCTGCTTCTGAGCAGAGAGTTAGTAAAACTGGCAAAAAGGTGTCCTTCAATGCCACTTCTGGATACAGTCTGTGGAAACCAAAACCAGGTAAGGAAGTGCACTGGGCAGGCCACAAGTGGAGCAGGAAAGCTTCTTTTCAAACACACTCTGGAGACAATATCCAGTGATGAGTTCTTGCTGATCTGAACAAGACACTGCTGCAAAGTGTGCCCATCTTGGCCATCTGAGCACACCTACTTCTTGCTGCTCTGAGTGGATACAGGAACCCATCTTGTTCGAGACTGAAACCAGGTATTGCTGGCATCAAACCTTGCTGCTTCTGTTTGTAAACAAAGATGCTCTGGGGATTTGAACATAGTTGCTGACACACACTGGTTGAGGAATCCCCAAGATGAGATCAGGTAGCTTTTTCAATTTGGGTCAAAAATACCACCTTTAAAGCCATTTCACTGTGTTGAAGACAGACCAAGGATCTTATCCCTCTGCATCCCTGTGGATGGAAAGGGATGTAAAATACTTCCATCCTGTTTGCCAGCAGCCTCATCTGGTTTGCAGTCCTGTTAATTTGAAGTGGTACAGGCAGAGGGGAATCTGTCCTTGTGTTTAGCTTCTTTCCAGAAGAGCTAGAGCAAGTCCTTTTGCCGAGCTTATCTGTGTCTGCCCTTTGGCTCAAGCATCTTTCTGGGGACTCCTAAGCTGTTGTTTCAGAAATGCTGTTGTTTTCAATTGTAAATCCGTGTATTTTCTTTTGTGTGGCCACAGATTCTTGAGCAAGGGGATGATGAAATTGTTGGAAGTGAATACTGGTACTTAAAAAAACCACAGTTTTTTAGAAAATGCTCCTGTTGGGAGGAGCAGTCTCTCTGGTGATCATTATCTTGTATCTTGTCTCTGGAGTCCTGGATAAATCCCAGTGGGTAATTTCACTCTACCCCTTAAATACTTCTGTCAATGAGAAACATGCAAAGGGTTTTTTCTTGCCCTAAGCTCTTGTGCAGCCCTGCTGTGAGCAGTTAGAGAGATGTCATATATTATTGCTGAGCTGGATTGAGACCTTCCTTCCATTTCAAAGAAAGCAGTAATGTTTTATCTATCTGCAGGTTGAAATTCACATGAAGCAGTTTTGGGGTAGGAAGAAAATCCACCACCACAAAAAAAACCTGCCACAAAAATTGTAAAGTAACAGTTGGATTCAGTGATCTTAGAGGTCTTTTCAACCTCAACAACTGTGTGTTTCTATGAAGTCTCTTATCTTTTCCCTCATCTACCTAAAGTCTGAAAACAAGGGGCTAATGAAAATAACGTTTTAAGGCCATGTTCTTTCTGGATTTGCACAATCAGCATGAATTTCCAGACATAATCCACTGTGCTTGGTACTCTGTATGCACCCACAAAGGCAGTTTCTGCCCCAGAAGGATTAGAGTTGGCCTGGCCTGAAGTGAACCTTGACTGAGACAGAACATGAACTTACAGCACAATAACTAGTTTCTAGTAACTTTGTGTGTGGCTGCATTTGGGCAAGGATTTATTCCTGGAATGAGTGAAGGAGCCCTAAATAATGTTGTCATTGATACATCTGGTTTGCCTTTGTTTTTTACAGCTAGTGATAGACACTTAGAGTTTTTCTCCTGGGCTGGCAAGAATGGGGGGAGTACCCTTGAGGAGGTGACCTTGAAGCCATTGGACTGTATTGTTTGTATTTGGCAATGACCCTCAATTATCCCAGAAGGGAATTGAGAGAGAGCTGAGGACAACCAGTGGTAATCCATCATCCCCCTCACCAAAAACTGCAGTTGTGAATCTAACAGACTGGCAGGGTAATTCCTGCAGAGAGAGTTTGTCTGCCTGTTGCCTGCAGTTACAGCACGTTGTTAGGAAATAAAGATTCTGAAAACATAATTTTGTGGATTTTGCAGTGTGGGATTTTTTTCTCCCGTTCTAGTTTATCTCTGGTTTTAAGTGGATGCAATTAAAGTGTAAGCTTTTGAAAGTCCTTGCAGCCTGTAGTTCATCTTTGCTTTCCTGCTTTGGGCAAGGACTTGGCTAATCACAGCATGACTCATTGATAACTGTGGTTGTTCAAAGTGAAGGAAACGTGGTCCTAACACACAGAACCATGTCCTACCTCGGTGGTCTGAGACTGTCTCTCCTTTCTTCCATCAAATTGCAGAGCAATCAGCGTGTTGACCTGTATAAGTGGAAAGAAGGTAATGGGGAAGTTTGCACATCTCTGCAAGGACACACACGTGTGATCAGGTGAGGAACAAGCAATGCTGTGGTCTGCTGAGTGGAAAGAGATGCATTGTTTCATAGAAGCTGAATGTTTTGGTCCTGGCTTCACTCAGGCTCTGAGCCTGTTTTTACTCACTCTGGATTGGACTGCCTTCCCATTTGGTGATGATGTAATGCATGAAGTGGCTTACCCCCTCATGGCTCCCCCAATATATCAACTTTGCCCTTGATGGCTTGAATGTCATTGCCTTAGGCTGCTGTCCTTGTAAAGAGCAGCAGCCATCATCTGGGAAACAGACAGCATGTTTATGAAGTTGAATCTCAGCTGTGTTTCTGTGTGATAGCAGCTTAATTAAGGCAGGTAATCCCACAGACCAAGTTTAGAGAGTGTTAAAATGGCGCAGGGGAGATTTTTACCTCTTGTTTTGAAGTCATATTTCAATGCTGTCTTGGAAATGCAGCTGAAGGACTGTTTTTACTCAAGCTTCTGACTGTGTAAAGTATTTGCAGCCCTTGAAATTAGAGTTGTTTGGGCTGACTGGAGGCTGTTTGTGTCCCAGGTGCACTTGGTGTTCCCAACAGGGAGGCATCCCAGAGTGAGGGGTTGATGCCAAGGATGTGTGGTTACTGAGAACTCTTTGAGACAGTGTCCCTTTGCCTGGAGGGGAAAGAGCACACACACAGTAGCTGTAAAGTTCAGGGCTAGGAGGATGCTTCACTGGAATTTACTTAGAAGCATTTCATTGCTTCTTGGAATTTACTTAGAGAAATTATTAAGATCTTGATTTTTACTTTAAAACTTTCAGTAGATGTCATGGAGCTGCTGTGAATTTGTTGGAAAATGTACTGGCTGCTTGTGAGAAGTTGATGCAAACTCTGTGCTTTTCTTTACTGATCTATGATTTTTGTGATTGCAGTGACCTGGACTGGGCAGTGTTTGAGCCAGACCTCCTGGTCACCAGTTCTGTGGACACATACATCTACATTTGGGACATCAAGTAAGAATCAGTATGTTTCTTCATTTTGGGGAAATCACTGGACTCTTTTCCATAATTATCAGCTTGCAGGGCAAAGCACGCCCTGATGGGTGCTGCTCTTTAGCTGTGCTTCCAGGGACTTCAGCTACTTCCCATTGTCTCCAAGACAACTTCTGCTCTCCTATTTTCAAGTCAGTTCAGAGTCAGTGATGGGCAGTAGAGTGGTACAGTTAAGCTACAATTGTCTGGCTTCACTCCCTGCCCACTTCAGCTATTTCCTCAGAGGCTTTTCCTGGAGCCCAAGGGTGTTCTACTTGTTGGGGTTTTTTAGCTGAATTAGTGAGCACCATTTCATGATCCTATAGCCATTTTCTACTAAATTCAGTGATTGTTGCTGGTTCTCCCTCAGTGGTGGGAAGACTGACAATGGTATTCAGGAAGGTTTTCCTGCTTGTACCTTGCCTTGTCTCCTGGTGCTGCTTTCTGCAGGAATATTTTCAGGGTAGCAGATATTTCCAACTCTATGTCCAGATTTAAGCCCCACATTTTATACCTGAGAAGCCAGGAGCTGGCACTGCAACTGCTGGGATCTCTTGCTGGCTGTACAACTCTTTATAACCTACAGCAAATCACTTTCTTCCTGTCTGCCTCCCTTGCTCAGTTATAATAGGAGGATAATTATATAACCCCACTGCACCAGGCTACCCGGAGGCTTGCTTAGCTCCTATGAACAAGCACTTAGATCCTTGGTTAAATGGCGCTCGAGAATGACAATATATTATTAATGTGTAATTAAAAGACATAGAGATAAAATAACTGCCGGTTGTTTTCCTGTGAAACTATCTTAATACCAAGCAGAAAAAATAGAGATTTCTGAAGGTTGTTATCAAAAGTCCTCCTTTAACTCTATTGTTCCCTTCCATTGTTTTGTGTCTGTATCACTTGCTTAGAACTGCTTCCTTAGGCAGTCTCAAAGCTTCTACATCCCACTTGTGCTAGGAAAGGCTCTGAGCTTGCTGTGGCACTGAGGTCCTGGCACTGCTGGCCTCCAGCAAATTAACATCCTGCTGAAGTGACTGTCTCTAATGACACCCTAGGGAGGTAGCCCTGCAGTAAGGGCAGCTGGAAATTCCCCACTTAATTTTTCATACAAAATAACTTTTTGATTGAGCAGAAACTCTTAGAGGGAGAGATGCAGTCCATTTCAGAAAATGTTCTGCTTTTCAGCAAACAGAAAAAGCTGAAGACAATATTCCTTATTTTCACTGTAACTTTTCATGAAAGAGCAGGTGAATTCCTGAAGAGCAAGGCCAGGAAGTAAATTATTGCTTTGATCTACGCCCTGGCTGCTAGGAGTTGTCATGGTGCCACACTGGTTTCTGCCATTGCAGAATTTGGTTTGTAGACAGACAGAATTTGGTCTGCACACAGCTGGGCTGATTTTCTACTAATTTTGTTATTATATGCTAGACATGAAGTTTTTGCTCTGTAGTAACTGCTCCATCTGCTTTGAATCAGGATCTGCAAAGGCTCGACAAACGCATCAGTGGCTTTTGTTGAGTGCTTCCACAGCTCTGTTTATTCCTTTAATCCTCCTTGGAAAGGCTGTTTTGTTGCTTCCTGCAGCAACAATTTGTGAGCTCTGTTTCCTTGCCTATCCAGTTGCAATATGCCAGACTTCGTGTATGTTTCTCCTCCCTCTAGTCCAGTCCAGCTCTGCCCTCTGTCCTAAACTTCCTGTTGCATGTGCTGGCAAGACGGGATCATAGAATGGTTTGGGTTGGAAGGAACCTTAAAAATCTAGTTCCATCCCCCTGCCAAGTGCAGGGACACCTTCCAGTACACCAGGTTGCACCAAGACCCATCCAGCCTGGTCTTGAACATTTCCAGTGTGGTTGTTGTCCTCCAGCTGGTCACCTTTATTCCATTTAATGCTGGTGTCTTTTGGTAAGCAGAAGGTACATTAAGTCCCAAGGCAACAATAACGTTAGCACTGGAATAGCAGGGAGCTCGCTGGGAAGAGTGGACTATGCTGTGTGTACTCACAGAGGCCACATTGTATTTCAGAGACACCAGGAAGCCCACAGTCTCACTTTCTGCAGTTGGTAAGTCTGATTTGTGTGATGTAGGCATTAAACAACATTTCTTTTGCATGCTCCTACTGTTACTCTTCCCTCCCTTCACACTCTAAGGCCAGGCATGGCGAAGTGCCACCATATGTGATTGTCCCATGTAGGAGCAGGCTGAGCAGCTCCAGTTCACAACTCCTTTTAGAGAAGCAGAATTCAGAAGAGATGTGGTTTCCAGGCATGGAGGGCAGTTATAGTACTTGGACTTGCTGCCCTGACGTTGGTGAATGGCCATGTGGAGCTTCCTCCCTGCTTTCCACCTTGCTGTGCTGCTTGTCCTGAGTTGCTTGCCTGTAATTTCCTCACGTCCTTTTATGTTTGACTGAATCAGCCAAGGAACTAAACCATGCCTCAGGCAGCTCTCTGTGCCAGCCTGTCCCCTCACTCACTCAGGGTTGGGTACAGCAGCTGGCTGTATCCACTTCCCTGCAGCACCTGCAACATGCAGGGAGCACACAGGGTGCTATCTTTGGGCTGTGCTTGTTCTGGAAAGGCTCTTGTCCTGGCTGCTAGCAAGGTGAGTGTCCAGCCCCTGCAATACCACCTTCTGGCAGGTGCTGTGTATCCATCCTTACTGGCTGGAGCTGGGACTGGGCACAGATGATGAGCAAGACGTCCTTTCCCTGAGTTACCATCCCCAGCACTGGAGCAATTCCTCACAATGTGTAACTCTCATGCTCTGCTGCTTACATCTCCTTAGGCTACACATCTGCAGCAGCTCCCGTTCCCCTCCCAGCCAGCAAACCTCTCTGTCACAGAAATGCAAAAACCTTACTGAGTCAGAGAGAAGCAGTGGTCGGTTCTGATGTCTGGGGTGAGGTTTCATGGCTGAACCAGCCCAGCAGCCTTCTCCTCAGAAAGCCTCCTTGCTTCCTTCCTTCCCCCTGTGCCTGATGCTGTTTCATGCTGGTCCAGACATTTGTGTACCCTTCAGTGAGTGGATCAAATCAATCAACTGGCAATCTATTTGCAGCTTTTTATCCCCCAGAATAGCTTTTAGCCAGGTTGTCAGGATGAATCTGCTCACCATGCAGCAGGAGGTGGGTAGCAGAGGTGAGGAGTAGCAGCAGGCTGAGATCTGTTTGGCTTTCTCATGGATCTCACCTTTCTGATAGCTCAAAAGGTTTGAAAATACTGGTGGAATAAGGATGAGCAGATGAATTATGCTTACAATACCTGAGCAATCCATGTTAACTGGAGCTGTGCTTTGTTTCTATTAGAAATAACAACCCATTGTCTGATTTGACTGAGTCCCTCATGATATCACATATAAGTCATATCTAGACCATCATTTGGTTTCTTTACAGTGTCATTGGTGTCTTTGATTTCTGTGGTGTATTTTGACAGATGGACCTTCTGGTCCACCCAGTCAGTCCACCTCCAGCTGGCCACACCCAAGGTCACCTGCACTGCAGCTTTCTCCTACACCTGTATTTTAATCATAGATCAATAGCACTAATTGCCTGTGTAGCAGCTGATAGTATGGGGGGTGGTGGGGAGATGAAACAGGCCCTAAGCACTTAGAAGTAACTTGAATAAAAAGAGAGGATTTGGGAAGGAGGTGATGAACTTACATTTCTGGTCTGGAGGAGGTTGTTCCATTGGAGCTAATGGACCATGAGTATTCTAATCAGGTACAGTCCCTGGATAGAAGATGTGATAAAGAGCTCTAAGAATGCAACTGGAACACTTGCTTTGCTGTCCTGAGGGTAAAAAATTATACACTGAGGAACCAGGAATTAATAATTTTCATGCCAACCTTTATGCTGGCTTCTGGGATATCCTTCCTCTGAACTGTCTTTCCTGGCCTAAGAGCAGCTCTAGGTCCAGATGTTGGGACTACTTTGCTGTTTTCTCTTTAATTGCTTGTTTTGGCCTGCTCTATTTGTACTGCAGCTGGAGCTTCCCAGGTGAAATGGAACAAGAAAAATGCCAACTGTTTAGCAACAAGCCATGATGGGGATGTCCGAATATGGGACAAAAGGGTAAGCTGAGGGACTTTTGAGCTGTCTTAACATATTCCCACCTACCCAGTACAGATACTCCTCTGGTGACAGATAAATACTGAGGAAATGTGCACTACTTGATCCCAGATCTCTCTTGTGGGTCAGTTTAAACTAGAGAGAAATTGGAGTCCAAGAGCCTGAAGAGAGCATGTAGGTAGCCTCTTTCCTCAGAGACTGTTCCTATTAACGTTTTCCTTTTGATCTCATAGTACTTTACTGTTTAACTGAGCATAAAGTGTGGTTAGGGCTGCACTTGGTGACTGGAATTTGCCATACCTTCACAGGATTTTTTCTTCAACTACTTCTGCTGAGCTATTTGCCATTCCCCAGCAGGGGTGGTTGTTCTAACTGTCTTGCCCTGGTTAAAGTGTGTCTTTTTTATGCCAGAGAACTAGACCAAAGTGTTCAGGTGTTCTGTGCTGAGAAGGACAGTATCTCTCCTTGCAGAAACCCAGCACTGCAGTGGAGTATTTGGCAGCTCATCTCTCCAAAATCCATGGTTTGGACTGGCATCCTGACAATGAGTATACACTGGCCACTTCCAGCCAGGACAACTCTGTCAGGGTAAGTGTTGTTTCTGCGATTCCTTCTACGAATTGGGAGTAGGAAGGATGGTGGAGAGGATCCCCTTCTGCTGGTGCTGAAGTTTTGGGGAGTGCTTTGCCATTGGCAAGATCTGGATCTTTATTGTTTGGTTTCTGGCCACCTGGTGTGTTGAGCCAGAATTGCACTTTCAGAGCAGGCAGAGGTCATTGACGAATGGGTGCACATATGTTTGCCACATATGTGGTGATTAGGGCAGTACTGACACTGAAAACAACTGCCTCTGCCTGTTGCTTGCCAGAAAGGAACAGACCACACATGCTGGAAGAGCCTTTTTTCTGAAATGCATGTTGCCAGCCTCAAGCTGATTACAGCAACTTGTGGGGAGACGTACTTCAGCCCCTGGAGTTTCCAAAGTTATGTTGAACAGGACTATCAATAAGAGACTGCCTGCAAGCACTGCTGTGCAGGGACTCTTACTTGGGAGAAAATAGTGTGCTTTGTATGTCAGCCAAGTGGAGTTCATTCACACTGAGCTAAGCTCTGAGGCAATTGATGTGTATTCTAGCAAAGCAAAAGGTTAGATTCTTCATTAGAAAATTAGCAGTAACAGCAGGGTGGGCCTGCCTCCAGCCTGGACTGGCACGTTGGCTGGCAGCCTGCAGGGTACCTTGTAACTCTGAAAGCCCAAGCAGGCTGCCTGTCTCCCTGCTCTAATTACTCAAGCTATGATCACTGTGAATATGACCCCAAGTAACTCATTTTCTAAGGGATGCTGCCAGCTGCTGATAGCTTGGTATTTGTCCTTTGGGGCCGTCTCTGCTGTTAATGAATGGGATTACTAATGATGCTGTGGGCACCCTGGCATGCTTTTTGGTCTGTTCTATCTGCAAGTCACATGGAAAACTACAGTCTGAAAGCACTAGGCAGCTGACTCCTGCCTTTGCTTGCCTTTCTCTTGGTTTGTTGCTTTTTTTTTTCAAGTTTTGGGATTACCGTCAGCCTCGGAAATACCTCAATATCCTTCCATGCCAGGTTCCCGTCTGGAAGGCAAGATACACGGTGAGTGAGAAACTCCCACCAGTTCCACTTGTGCTCTGAGAAGAATGCGCAAAGTGACATTAAATAAAGAACTGCCATAGGATTTCTCACCAGTTCTACTTGTGGACATTGTTAAGTTGATTTTAAAAATACTTCTTGGTGCCTGAAAGGTGTAGAAAAGCAACATCCAAGTGGGGGCATTCAGGAGAAGGAGTGAGCAAGCACCTACCCAAGTGAAGCTAAGGCTCTTAACATCAATCATAATCCTCAGAGATCTGAATGTGGCCTGAAGCCTGTGCTGTGCCTTAAGTCTTGATCCCCTTTTCCTGTCCAAAATGAGGAGTGTAGGATTGGTTTCCATATTCCTCTGAGCATTGTGACCCTGAAGAGCCGCTAGGGCTCAGTCCCCAGGTAGCAGTTCTTGCAGCTCCAGGCAGACTGCAGTAAGGATTCCCAGTGAAAAGTCAGTGGTGAAATCCCTCCAGCCTCACAGATGAAAAGTGAGGAAGCAGCAGAAAGAAGTTACTCATCTTAAGTGAGCTGCATGGAGTGTCTCAGTGTACTACATCTTACCCCTTGAAACAGTTTTTTTGCACAGCAATTGCCTTGGACCTTCCCTGGTTTTGGCCTGGTTCTGTTTTGTGCTGAGCTCATTTAAAACCTTCATATTCGTGTTGGTGGGAAAAGGGAAAAATGAGAGTGTGATAATAGCAGCATAACTCTCTCTGGCTAACTGGAAAGGTGTTTCTCTCCAAGCCTTTCAGCAATGGACTGGTGACAGTGATGGTCCCCCAGCTTCGTCGGGAAAACAGTCTCCTCCTCTGGAATGTCTTTGACCTGAACACGCCTGTCCACACTTTTGTGGGACATGATGATGTGGTGCTGGAGTTTCAGTGGAGGAAGCAGAAAGAAGGTGAGTTAAGGGTTGAATGTGCTGTCTTCCCTACACTGTGGCTGTCAGCTAACTGAGGGTGTGGAGACCTGGGTCCCCATTGCAAGGCTGTTTTTTTAGTCTTGCCTTTCCTTCAAGTATCTCCTGCCCACCTTCGTGCCCTCCACTGCCCCCCTCAGAGTACAGCTGTTCTGAACTGGTTTTAGGGCAGTGCTTAGAGAAGCACTGCCTTGTTTACATGCTAACAAAGCAAATCTACCAAATGCTGAGTGGGTCAGTGGTGACTCTCATTGCTTCTACTCTCCTGGGAGTCTTTTTTTAACTTCCAGAATAAATTGTGCAAATTATTAGATAGGTGCCTGAGTGCAGGTACCCTTTCCCTGCTCAGAGCTGCAGGTTAACCAGTTAACTCCTCATATCATGACCTGGATCAGCAGCCTCCAGCATATCCCAGACCACAGACCCAACAAGCCCACCTTATTTGTATGCTGGCCAAGGCAAGGGAGGAATAACATGGAATAGAGAGTCTGCTGTTAGAGTTCAGTCCTGACTAAATTTTCTAGTGTAAGCAGCTAAGAATAGTAGATTCCATACCAGAGGTTGCATAACCACACAGAGCACAGCTTTGTTTCCAGCACCTCAGCTGCCACTGACAGAATGTGCATGTCTGGCTTTGGTGTCACTTGTGCTACAGCTTTGCAGTGCTGCATAAAAGTGCTGGTCCAGCCCTCTGCCATCAGCTGCTGGGGCCATTCAGTTAAGTCACCTCCTTCTCCAATACTTGATTTTCCTCTTTCAAAAAGAGGAGAGCAATGGAGAACTGTGTTAGGATCTGGAGGCACAGTCCAAAACAATTTGTGAACATTTCAGCAGGCTTGAGCTAGAGTTGGTTGTCTTAGCTGAGTTAATAGATACATACCTGGGATTGGATGTCTTGCTTGTCTCAAGCAACATGTATCAATCACACAAACATTCCAAGTCTGCTTCAGTGTGGAGACAACCAAGATAGCACAAATTTCCTTCCACAGTCTGTTGTGCTGTATTTAGACAGCCCCTGTGCCTCAGCAGAGGGGTGTAGGAAGCAGCTGTGCAGCAGCAAATTCTTAAGCATAGCAGCTGTTTGACAAGGGAAACTTAAAACTGTATCACAAGACATAAACATGGACATAAATAGGTCTGTGTACCTCTGCCTCTTGATAGTATGTGGTTAGATTTATTTCCTTACAACCTGAACTTGGCATCATCCAGCTCTTTCAGAAGCAAGAAGAGGAATGGCAGAAACACCTTCTCATTGCTTAAAAATATTTTAAAACATCTACCTCTTGAAACAGACTTGATGAATTAGAAGATATTTTCACTTTACAGTTATAGTTAAGAAACATTTCTTTTTACCATACTATTTCTTCTACTTAAATAAATATTGTTGTGGGTCTTGTTTATTCCTGGTTGTGTCACATTCATTATTGCTTTGTGCTTTTGGCCTGTAAATCACAGCCATTTTAGAGGTGTGTTAACTGTGGTGTGAGGAGGCACAAAGGTTTATGTACCTGGGTCAATCAAAGCAGAAAAGGACTTGCTCTGCCTTTCAGTTTGTGCCTTATCCATTTGGATGTGCCTGCTGGCTTGTTTGAATCTGTTTACTCTAAGCACAGGGCTGAGATAGTCTCTGTTTTCCAGTGGGGTCTCTAATTGTTTCTGTCCTCTTTAGGCTCTAAAGATTACCAGCTGGTTACGTGGTCCCGGGATCAGACCCTGCGCATGTGGCGGATTGACTCTCAGTTGCAGAGGGTATGTGGGCACTCTGGCTCTTGAACCGTAGGCAGATTTCTTACAGGCTGGATTCACATCCCCTTCCTTGCACTCCCAATCACTCCTCTGGTATCACAGAGCTGCAGACACAAAAGCCAGCTGCTGCTTCACTTTCCTCTACAGTTCCAGCCCAAAAACATCCCCAAGGAGATCTGTGATAGGTCTTCTCTTTTAAGCCTGTGTCTCAAAAGTTTCTGTGTCTATGCAAGGCTGCTTTGTTGTCTAACATTAAGTGCAGAAGTTTGTTTGGAGAAGGTGGAGGGCAGTTACTGCCTGCATTGCCTCTAAAATGCTGCGTCCATGGCTACAAGACTGTATTTCTTGGTTGTTTAGGTGCCAGGTAATGTAGGGATTGTGCCCTCCTCTACCTCCCCTTGTGTCTATTGCCTCTAAGCCTGGGGTGGGTGGTCGGAGTGTGTGGATCTGCAGCAGTTACAGATTCTGATGTAATTACTAGAATAGCTGTGCTGGCTCATACCAGAGGTTCATATGGCCACAATGGGCCACATGGCCATGTCCCATCTTCAGCTGATGTCTTGGGAGGGGATAAGAAGGAGGCAGGCATGGAACGATGTTTTTTTCAAATGTCCTCCTGCCATTTGCAACTTATAGGCTCATTGAGTCTGTCATCTTTGTATGTGATGGAGCTTGATGATTGTCACTTCCATAGACATGTTTTGTTTTTTCTTGGACCTGTATAAATTTTTGTCACCTTAAACACCATAACAACAAGGAGTTTCATGGTTTTTCTGCATGTTGTGTGGTAAACCAGCTCATTTGTTTATTTTGCCACCTGATTTTATTCCATTGAAGATTAAGTGAGTCATATTCTCTACATATGTGCTACTGATGATTCTGTAGGCCTCCATCATATCCTTCTCAGCCACCTCCTCTTTCAAGTCAAAAGGTCTTGATTTAATTCATCCTTTGTACTACAACTTTGATTATCCTTTTGCCTTTCATGACCCTTTTTCAGTTCTAGTATATACCTTTGGGGATGGGGATCTGAACTTTGGTTTTTTCCAGAGAATTCTCAGTACTCAGTTGAGTTTGTAAATTGTTTGGCATAATTCCATGAAATCATCAGCTTAGTCTGGCTTCTACCTCTTGTTCCCTCGGCTTGCCATTTTTCCCAATGTATGTTGCTTTATATTTATCTGAGCCAAAGTTCATCTTTCATTTTAATACAGTTACTCTTGTAAGGTCCTTCTGTGATTGTTTGCCGTCAGCCACACTTGTTACTGCCCTGAAAAACTTGGTGGCATCAGCAAACCTGGTCATGTCACTATTCACCTCCTATTCCAGGTTTTTAATGAATATGTTGAGAAGCATGTGTCCCAGCACAGATCCTGCAGGAGTCCTGCAGGTCTGTAACAAACTTTCTCTGTGAAAAATGACCCTTTACTCCTACCTGATATATTTGTCAACATTTGATTTCTTTCCTGTCTTTAAATCAATAGTTCGTTCATGTCAGAGCCTTTATTTTTCCTCTACTGGCTCCCACTCTTTTGTCCTTGTCTTTGTCTGTATCAAACTACACACATGATGGCATGTTGCTGGTGACCAATGCTGTAATTTGCTACATCACACCATTATCCTTTCTCTTCCCTTCATCTTCCCAGTTTTCTTGTGCTGAACTTAAAATCCAGGGGTTTATAGTCTCATTCTGATACAGGACCTAGAACAGTGAGGGCCCCTTGTGTGCACCTGGGTCTCTAGATCCTACTGGAGTGTAAATGTCAAATGCAGAAAGTGTGCTACTATTAAATTTGATCTAAAAAATTAAACAAGTTTTAACAAATTAATTCAAGGAATTAATGTAATATCAGTTTTAGTTTTGACTAAATTTTGACTTCTGTTTCTTAGCCAGGCCCTGTCAATTAAGTGGCTTTTAAAGTGAGCAGGAGATTTGGCCAGGCTCTCTGAGGTGACAGAGTTGAGGGTGCTGGAAAATGAAAGATCACCTGTCTTTGTCACAGGAACAGTACAGTCTTAGTCATGACTTTGCGTGGATAGACCTACCTTGCAAATCCATCTGTCGGGAGAAGTGAGTTGTTTAAGTGGTGGCTCTTCCCACAGCTTGGATTCTCTTGTGCAGCATGTGGGTGTGTTTGTTCTTTTCAGCTCTGCGCTAATGATATCCTGGATGGAGTTGAGGACCTCATTGATGGGATTTCTCACCTGCCAGAGCCAGACAAGACCCTTCACCCCCAGGAGGCGGAGCCCCAGCATAACTCTGGACATGGGGATGAGGAAGGTGAGAAAAGTGATGGCTTGTGGAACCTCAACTTGTGGTGGCTTGGTGGCTCAACTTGATGGCTTGTGGTGGGAAGAAGATATATCTTGGCATAAGAAAACATAGGCAAAGCACAACCTGCCGCTGTTTGAAAGGTTAATGGATTCCTCATCAGGGAGGAGGAGAAACATTAGGGGTTCCTCAGGATAGTCCTCCCAGGTTTTTTCTCTTCTAATGCAATGATTCTAGCTGTAAAATGAACACCTTCCTTGTCATGATTTTAATTTAATTGCATGCTTTCTAGGTTGTAGTTGTGGCTTGTTGCCAAAAGTAAGACAATCAGAATGTAGGTTCTGCCTTTTGAGAAGATAGATTAAAGCCAAGAGATGAACCCACAGAAGAGGAGTGTGTGAGTAAGGCACTCTGACGCAAGCTGCATATATCACACCTGGTACCTAAACAATTCTGCTGGGATCACTGTGTGAACTGATCTAACAAAGGGGTGTTTCCTGGTGTCTTCACCAGAAGTAGATCTGGAGATAGGTCATAAAGTTTTGGTCATGTACTGATGAGAGGTGACTGAAGGCTGGCAGAGCAGAGGGAGAGGGATAATATCCCTGGCATCTGAGATACACAGGGGGTGGATGGGAGATACTTTGACAGAAAGTATTTATTTGTCCCTACAGAAAAGAAGGCATGCAAGGAAGGAACATAAAGGAGGGTTTGTGTGGTTAAGGCTGTGGCCAGTTTAAACATTCAGGGTTAGTGTTTGGACAGTGTAAGTACAAGAAGAGGTTATAGCGTCACATGGTGATGTGCATGGAAAAAAGTTATCTAAAGGGATTTCTGCAGCTACAATGAGGAAGAAGAATTGGGTGCACCAATGCCTTTATGTCAGTTTGGGTTTAAATTCACAGCTCCTTTCAGTGTTGTAGCTGTGCCACAATGGATCCCCATGTGATGGGTGTATGGGGATGCAATTTGATTCACCCTTTGGCTTGCCAGTGAACTGCAGAGAAGGGGAGAAAGTGGTCTAATGTCTGTCCCTTCAATAAAGGAGCAGTTGTGAGGTCCCTTAGTGAAAGCATTTCTTCCTAACTGAAGGTTTTTTGCTCAGAAATTGCCAGTGAAGTTCCTCTCTGCCTCCTGTCCTGTGTGTCAGCAGAACAAGTTTCTGAAAGCCATCAGAACTTCTGTCTATGTCAGGGTTCTATAAGATGATAGAAAAAGCCCCAGATACCTGTGCTCCCCATGAGCAGTGCTTCTGGGGCAGCACAATCTCTCTTGCTCCTGCTGGGAGCATTCTCATTTTGGCTGCCTGACCTCACTTTTTTCCACAGGAGAGAGTTAACTCTTCCACTGTCCCTGATGAGGCACATACAACCATCCCATGTGGTTTCTTCTTTGGTTCAGATGTTATGGTTTTCCTCATGGCCAAAGGGAATGAAATAGCTTTCCTGTAGCAGGGTAGATGTTGCTGCAAATAACATGACTGCAGGATTAGTGCACAAGCAAATTCCTAGGTAGGAATTTCAGTTCTTTCTAGCCAAAAAGCTATTATGGACTGTTGATGTTTCATCCTGGGGGTGCCTGCATTTCAGCTGCAGACAAAGCCTCCATGTTATTTTAGTAAAGCACTTTGGGGGATCTTTTGAAGAGATCAGCGCTCTGCAGGTGAATGAAAGAGCCCCAGCTGTGCCTTTGCTGCACAGCTCTTGCTGCTGCTTACAGAGGAGCTTTAGGAATCTGTACCAGTGCGTGGCTTTGGAGGATTAAAAACTAATTGGAAGGGAATGGGAGGAGAAGACAAAGGGAGGGTATTGCCCATACTGGGAACCTTTGAGATGGCTTTTCAGTAAGCTATGTGGCGTCTTGAGCTAGAAATAATTATCTTCCCTGAGAGCCACTGATCTTCCTTTAATCTCCTTTTCAGCTCCCTTTTCTGGAATATATCTAAGTGCTGTAATAGAATTGCAAACAAGAATGATTGGCTAAGCATCCAACCTATCCAAATCCAGCAGCTCACTGGGTAGTGGTAATACCAGGTATTTGTCCCTGCAGCAAAGTCAGTAACTTCTAGGCAAATGCTTATAAAAGGTCAACTTCTTGCATTTCTTTTCATTTGTTTGTTTTTGCTGGGAGTAGTCTGTGCAATGTGATATTGCAAGTGTGAGAATGACAGCTGAAAAATTAGGACTTCTCTTGTGTCCTCAGAACCATCATCAAAAAATAATATTTGACCTTCTTAAGAAGTGGTGCCACAGCAGAACGCCTTTATGGAGGTACCCAGCAAGAAATGAGGCAAAACCCAGGCACAACCACAGGCAGATTCTTCTGAATTCTGAAGTCTTCTGAAACTCAGTGAAGTTTGTTATCTTAACTGTAATTCTTTGTGTCCTGCAGCGCTTGCCTGGCTGTTTAAATGCAAATGGCTGTTGCAAATGAATTAAGCTTCTATTAGGACCAGAAATACTCCCTGCTCTCTCCCAAAGCATTGTTGTGCTTTGGAAGCCTGCCCTGAAAGTCAGGAGCGGTGGGGTGTTAGTCCCAAAGACCAGAGCTTCTCCTGGAGACTGCTAGGGCTGCAGTTCTTTCCTGTTGAACTGAGATGCTCCAGTTCAGCTGATCGTGACTCTGGCAGCACTGTGTAGGGAGGAAAAAGGGTCTCACATGAGAGGGACCATTTAGGACTGTACAGAGTACAGGCAGGTTCTGTAACCTTCCTGGGAGCCCTCTGTGCAGAAAACTTTGGATTTTTAAAGAGAAGGGTCAGAAACTTGCTTCCAAACAACAGCTGAGATGTTCCAGCTCACAGGTCTTTGCCAGGTAAAAACTCATAGCTCCATGTGCCAGAAGAGCAGAGGAAAACCTGTTGTCTTGGCTGCCTCCTGACATCATGTGAAAAACTCTGCCTGTTATAGCTTGTCTCAACTTGTTATGCATCTTTCCTGTCAGCCTTAAAAGAAGATTTCCTGAATGACTCCCTGGTGGGAAAGAAAACCGACCAACTGGGGCTGCCTCAAACACTGCAGCAGGAGTTTTCACTGATCAATGTGCAGATCCGAAATGTCAATGTGGAGGTACAGAGTTTCCTTTTGCTGGCTTGTTATGAGGGGATGTGTGCAGGCTGGCTTATTGAAGCCTTTAGAGGGGAACTTTCTTTGCTGCAGTGACTGCTGTCTGTAAGCAAGTTTTATTTTGTGCTGTCGAGATCCTCTTGGCCAGGGGTAGTAAGAAAGAGAATAATCCCAGACACTGGTGTGAGAAAAATGTTTCAGCACAGTAAGTACACTGGCTGATCGTGAGAAGTCTGGATGGTGTTTTCTTCTCTGCCTAGACTGCAGAGTGGAAGGTGACTTGTTCCATGCAGTTGATCTCATTTCAACTGGTTCTGAGTCCCATCTGCTGAGCCCTCCCTATCCTGTATTCTGTCCCTCACTTTTGCCCTCTCCCTTGCACTCCAAACTCTCCTCTGTGCCTAGAAGCTCACTGGAGGCACAGCCCTGAACTGGGCTTGGAGGCTCAAGGCAGCTGCCTGTCTCCTTTCCCCACCCTGGTGGTTTCACAGCTCATGGCATGATCCTGATGCAGTTTTCTGTGACAGTGGTGCAGAATGATAGAAGGTGCCCGTTACTGCTGCACTGAGCCTGGCCAGCTCTCCACGGCCAAGTGAGGTGGGCTGGGGTGCAGTGGCTTTTGGGAGCAGAGCCCCTTTCTTGGTGCTGCTTGGGCCGGCCACAGTCTCTGGATGCTGGAATGTCGGTCTACTGGCACTGTCCCCATCTGCCTGGGGCGTTTTGCTGTCACTGTGTTCCCTGCCCTTGAGAACAGCATGACTTTGTGTTATGTGCAGAGGAACCAGTCCCACAGCATGAATTTAAGCCACAATAAATGTAAAAGTCCTGGGAGATCTCACTGGAGAGCAATTGCTTTTTCTCACAGATGGATGCGGTGAGTCGCAGCTGTACGGTGTCGGTGCACTGCGGCAACCACAGAGTCAGGATGCTGGTGATGTTCCCTGTCCAATATCCCAATAATGCTGCACCGTCCTTCCAGTTCATCAACCCAACCTCCATCACAGCTTCCATGAAGGCAAAGCTGCTGAAGGTGTGTGAGGAGTATAGAGTGTCTTTATAAATGTACAAATGATGGATACTTGACATCTGGATTTTTGAGACATAACTAAACATCAGACCTTGCTGAAGACATACTACAGGTCATGTTGAACTGAAAAATTGTGAAGTCCATAGGATAAGGGTTTTGTTGATGCTGCAGTCCAGTATTTGCCTTTTTCCACTGCTCCTTCATTGCTGCTGTGTTCAGTGTGATGTGTATTGCCTCAGGATCCCTAACATCCTTCTCCTCATGCAGTTGCCCTCAACCTGATAATAGACAAAATGACCAGTTAAGCATCCAGCTGCAGAATGATACTATTTTTGAGCTGGGATGTTGCTTCCTGCTCTACTATACAAGCTGCTTTAAAAATGAGGGGATTTTTTTACATAGGCCCTGCTAATTCAGACCAGGTGTTTGATCATCTGGTGTAGCAAATCCTATTGCTAATGAAATCCTTTCCCCCGCAACACATTGATGGATCAGTTTGGGTTTCTTCCTGAAAAAAAAACCTGATCCAGTTTGCCACAAACTGGTATGAAACATATGGGCTGCAGTAATATTGAAGCCTAAATCCTGGCTCAGTGTGCTGCTAGGTGAACCTCAGTGCTCTGATCAAAGCACAAAGCCATTCCTCAGAGCAGACAGCACACCAGTGGCCCCAGTGGGCGTTAGCGGATGTCTGTTACCTGTTCAGGTCCTGGCATCTAAGCTGCTCTGCAAAAAGGATGTGGGCAAAGTGTGGAGGTAACCATGAATAAAGTTGCATCTTGTATGTATTCCAGATACTGAAAGACACTTCCCTGCAGAAAGTGAAGCGGAACCAGAGCTGCCTGGAGCCTTGCCTGCGTCAGCTGGTCTCCTGGCTGGAGTCTGTTGTGGTATGGAGAGCTGCGTGGGCTCCCTGCCCTAGTTTGTTGTCTTTTCCCATGTTCCACACTTCTGACTCTGCAGTGAGAGTCTGGCCTCGTTAGATGTGTAAATAGACCCCTGTGACTGGCCATTACATTTGTGTGAGCACTTCTGGTTAATGTTGAAGAGCTGGGTGGATAATTAGATGTGTTTTGTTTTCCAAAAATGAGGCCCTGAAGGTTTGCTGCTTTGGGGAACTCTGATATCCAGGTTACCAGGAGTGACTGGAGATTGGAGAATCTTAGTGCTGCATGGTAGCTTCCCTGGTCAGAATATATGTCACTGACTGCCAAGGCATGGTTATCATCTGTGAGAGAAGATAAGAGGCCTCAGGTTGTTGATGGATTAATTCTTGTTTGAAAGGCAATGGCAGATGTCTTTACCTCCTCAGTTTTAGTCAAAGATCCTGCTAGTCCTATTCTAGGGTTTTTGTTTTCTTCCCTGAAAAAAACCCAAACTGTGAAAATCTGGGTTTTTTTCTGCAGCCTTGTGCTGAGGTTTTGTAGGGATGACACTGCAGATAAATCCAAGTCACACTCTGCTCTTAGCTGAGAGATCTGTGATACCTACTCAGCATCCCAGTGTCAGGTATTAGGTCTTTGTGTGGGTGAAGTGTACTGGAGTGGGTGTTTTTAGCATTCAGGAAAAGATTGCAGAGTCTCCTCAGGTTTCTTTTCTGAGAGGTTTTGTTTATCCATCACAAATAAAGGGCTGGAGTTTTTTTTTTACATGTGAAGGCTTAATTCTGCTTGGTTTCAGCAGTAATATTGTAAGAGTGGGAACTTTCTGTGCTGTAGAGAAATCTGATTACTTGAGCCACCACTACTTTCAAAGAATTCCTTTAGACTGAAGTTGTAGTATTCTTTATCCAAATAAATGCAGATTTCTGCCAAAATTCCTGTGGCTAGTCCTGAGGTCCCCCAGTAATTCACACCATCTGCCTTCCTCACTTGAAGACTCCCAACCTGTGTTTGACACCCCACAGTTGCGTGTTATTCCCACTCAAGGAGATTTTGTGCATCATTGCAGTATCATGTTCAGCTCAGCTTGCGTATAGCTTTCTCCTGTTCCTCCCCCAGTTAAGCTCTGCATTTCAGCATGATTATGGTGGGAGAGAAGTCTCTGGACAGGCAGCTAGAGAAGCTTTTTCCTCAAAGGCAGATGTGCCTGCAAGTGCCTTTGCAGTTGAAGCAGTAACTGTGCTCTGAGCTTGGTCTGTTCTGGCTCAAAGGATGAGCACCTCCTGTGAGGCTGCTTGGCACTGCTGTGTCTGATGCTCTGGCTGGATTTCTGTCCTGTGACAGCAAGAGTGTGACCTTGGGTAACTTCTGTTTCAGAACCAAGAGGACAGCACGTCCAGCAATCCCTACGCTTTGTCCAACTCCGTAACGCCCCCCTTGCCCACGTTTGCCCGGGTCTCCAATGCCTATGGCTCCTACCAGGACTCTAACATCCCATTTCCACGGACCTCTGGAGCCAGGTTCTGTGGTGCAGGTCAGCCCTGTCACTGATACATTAAAACAGGTACCTGGGGAATGGTCCTTTTAGATGTCTTGGGAAACATTTGCCTCTGAACAAGATAAGGCTTTGCCATGCAAGGAGTAAGGAATGGTGTTAAAGTAGTGATATTGTGGTAAATTTAGAGAAGAGACTAATTAGCAACTGTTCACAGTTGGGATTGCATGCGGGGCTTTAGGATTTTGAAATGCAGGGCTAGCTGAAGAGATAACCTTTGGCTTGTGGCATGCCAGAGGCATTGACAGATCTCTTTTTATAGAACACTGGGAATAGCTGTTTTCCTTGCCTAGTTCTCTCCTACCAGCATCACATTACTGGGTGTATTCTGGCACTCAGTCTTCACAAAAGTCCTGTGATTTGGGGTTGAACTTACCCTTTGCTGAAACCATATTCATATTTCTAACCACTCTTCTCTCATTCTACACTCTTTCACTTGTCCAAAACAGCTTTCCCAAGGTCATTAAGAAACTTCTCCTAAATGGGAGATGGGGTACAATCACATCCAGGTTTCCAGGAGAGCATGTAGAGGGTGAAGATCACTAAAAAGTAGGTTAAGATCTGAGTAAGAGCTGTTAAGTTTCACTGAGCTATTTCAGATGCACAGATGCCGTCTCTGGACCTGAGCATACCAGTGTGAGCATGTTTTGGAACCTGCTTTCCATACAGGCCTCACTGAATTCCCAAGCAAAAGTAAAACAGAATAATATTGCATTGAATAGGCTCAGTGAAACCTGAGTTCAGAGTCCTGAAACTCTTGCAAGAGTAGGTGGCTGAAGACACTTGAGAGGCTAACAAATGGGATCAGGCTTGTGAGAGAATGCTTTGGAGCTGGCTTCAGATGTCTGGGGCTCTCCTGTTGAAGAAGAGAGTTGTATAAGCTGCAGTTTCTCTGCATTGCCACACATCACCTCACTTACCTCTGGAGTAACAGTGCTTGGCAAGTTCTGGTGGAGGGTTAAAACACAAGCATATATTTGCTCATTTTCTTTTCCTGTCTTTTCTCTAACAGCTATAAACCACTTGACATTATGCATTTGAGAGAAACATCTCAAAAACCTTTTGTAGTGGGTTTTCAGGGAGTCAAATTGGGTTCAGAGAATGTGGTTGTCTGCTTTCAGTTTATAATCACTAAGGTTAGTGGATAAGAATCCAGCCTCTTGCCTCTGATACTCAGGGAAATGTGGTCATTTAAGCTGAACTGCCCCTAAGTAATCTACTCTTTGTTGCATGGTCTTTATGCCATGTCCTGTCTCTTCAGGGTACCTGGTGTATTTCACGAGGCCCATGACCATGCACCGTGCCGTGTCCCCGATGGAGCCCACACCCAGGTGAGTGCCCTGTGTGGTGTTTGAGGTGTGCTCCTGTTGTGGGCAGGAAAGCAGGAAAATACCAGGTCCTACATTAGAGCTAGTCCCCTCTAGTGTTAGCTGTGCCCTCAGCGCAGAGAGCCTGGGCCCTTACACCACAGGGCCTCAGCAGAGACTTCTTTTGAGACAGTGGCACCATTGCTGGCAGCTTGGGTTAGTGGAGATGTCAGTGTGAGCCTGCAGGACATTTTGATGGGAAAAACCCCTGAAAGTGTATTCTCTTTTTCCCAGGTCTCTGTCGGCTCTATCAGCGTACCATAGTGGCCTCATTACTCCAATGAAGATCCGCACGGAGACTCCAGGCAACCTGCGTCTGTACAGTGGGAGCCCAACACGCAGCGAGAAGGAGCAGGTCTCCATTAGCTCCTTCTACTACAAAGAAAGGGTAAGTGCCAGACCAAAACACTGCTCCCAACACTTTAGCTTTCATGACCTGTTTTCCTTTCATTTAGCATTGCTAGTAATAGAAGCTTTATATTCCTCTCAAAAAGACATCTTTTTACAGGCAGATCTGTCAAATGGATTTGGTTCCTATTAGTAACTTCTTTATTGATCCTCTCTAGCATTTGACATGCTTATTTTGATGTTTCCCTGTGCTGACCATCACAGTTCCCTTCGGTGCATTATACTGTCTCCCTCTGCATTATGTAGGGTTAAAATCTCATCCTTTAAGAAGTTTTAGTCTTCAGATAAATACATGTACACAGCTCTTGCTGTTCTGGGTGCTCCCTGATAAATATACATATATAACTGCACAGGGCTGTGACTGCAGCTTACTGCCAGCCTCTCCTGGACTAAGGGATGTGGTTGGTTATTTCTATTTCAGGTGTCTCTTTCAGGGATATGTGCCCCTTTGAACCTCTTTTTTTAAGCAAAAATAATTTCTACATGATTCTCTAAAGATCTTCCAATCCACGTAATTCTGGTTTAGGTGCAGGTTTTGCTGTTGCTCCTGTTTACAAGGCTTTGGAGAAGAGTGGGATTGTTTCCTTCTGGGACATGGTGGGTGAGGAAGACCTGTTGTAATTGTAGGGTGGCTGCAAAACACAGAAGTTGTAAAACAGCAGTGAGGGCCTGATGTGCCTGGAGCAGATGCTGTGGGAGCAGTAGGCTGAGCAGATTGTTAGAAACAAGCTGTGCTTCAGCAGGAGGTGAGGTGCCTTTCAAAAATGCAGTAAGCTTCCACTAGGAGCCTCAGAATTTGGGGCATTTGAGTAGTTTGTTCACTGTCCATGCAGAGGACATAAATCTGTTGCTGCAGTAAAGAGCTTCCAGGTAACCCAGGGAAAGCCAAAAGCTGTCTGCACTCTGCTGGCATAATAGTTTGGGAACTTGTGTCCCAGGAGCAGAAGTCAAAGCCTTGAATACCCATCCTTCCTGGGCACAGATAGAAGTCTTGTTTTTCTGGTGGTTCTGGGTGTGACAGCCACCCTGTCTCTGGGACTGTGTCCTGCTTACATGGCGATGCTACAACTCCCAGCTGTGGGGAGAGCCCCTGTCCCCAGTGCAAATTCTGCTTCCATACAGACCCCAGAAGTCTCTTAAGTCCCCATCCTGGTTTTTTTTCCCCCCCACAAACTTTTTTTTTCTTTTTTTTCTTTTTTTTCTTTTTTTTGATGGAAAGAGAAAATGGTGCTGCCTGGTACAAGAATTACAGCCTGTCCTAGTCTTTGTAGGAGAGTTTATTTAAAGAGCTACCTCTGTCCTCTGCAGCAGGCTTGTCTCTGACACACAGCCTCTCTAAGATGACAGACAAGGCTAAAAATAACATGTGGAACCAGCTTGGTGCAATTTCATGTGACCTGTCTCCCTAGACCTTGTATTGATGGCAACAAGATTTTTGTCACAGGGTAAAAGAATTCAAGAGAACAAAGCATGTGTGCAGCCATGTCTGCTGAAAGCCAAGGGAAATTCCTGTGTTCCCCTTCCCCTGCTGAGCTATCTCCTCGCATGCTGGAATAAATGTAAGAACTCTAATGGTTCAAATCTTCTTGCAGATGAAAGAGTATTAAAAAAAACCAAAAACCTGTATCTCTCTTCAGCAGAGGTTTTCTGGTTCTTCAGGAGTTGATGTCATGGCTCTGTTAGATCAATGCTACAGCATTTTTGTTATTTCATTGTGACAGTTTTAAAAAGCCCAGACCCTAAGTTTAGTTAACTCCTTGCTCTGAAGCTTGGATTTTATGTTTGCATTAAATAAAAGTTTAAATTTTATGCATCAAACTGTGATATCAGACAACTTCATCCCCAAAACTGAATATATCAGCCATAACCAAGTATTTAAATCCACTGCAACAACAACTGGCATCCACTAACATTAGCAAGCCAATGGAATTCGCCCATTGCTAGACAGGAAAGATGTCATATTCCCATGAAGGTAGGGGAGCTGCTGGTTCCAGCAGAGAGCTCCTTAGTAAGCCAAAATGAGACTAAATCTGGCACTGAGCCTTTCTGTGCTCATTTAAGTATATATATATATATATATATATACACACACACACATATATATATATATATATATCTTTCTCACTTTTTTTCACATATGCACACTCCTCCTTTCTTCCTTCCTCTTTTTTACTTCGCAAAAAAAACCCACTGAAGAGCACTAGTCAGCAGAAAGGAGGAGCTTTATCTGTACCATGGCAATGCTGTCAGTGTTTTGAATCTGAGTGTCTCTTAAAGAAGGTGCCCTGGAGTTCTTTTTTCCCCCTACAGTTACAGGGTCATGCCAGTGGGGACCTGGAGACAGCTCAGCCTTGCTGTACCTGGGGATAGTGACAGTGGTGTCCTTATGCTTTTCCCCTCAGGGAACTGGTGAGGGGACTGAGCTTAGTTTTAATGCTTTTCTACTATACTGAATTTCCTTTAACTAAACCTTTTCTCATTCTCTGTGAGGCCTGCTGGAAGAACCTGTACACATGACTGCAGCCTTCTCCTCTCTCTCTTCATGGGGCCCTGCAGCCAGCCTGGTTGTAGGGCTCTTCCAGCAGTGAGATGCAAGGGGATGTAGAGGCTGTAGGCATGGTTGATGGTCCTGACTGTCCATCATCAGCTGAAAACAAACGCAAAATGCATTGTACCTGACCCAAATATCTCTTTTTATTGTGTTAATTCTTACAGATCTCAACACTATTTTTCAAGTGAGTGTACAGTAATGTGATTTGAAAAGTTCCATTTGTTGTTGCTATAATACTGTGTTGAGTACCTATTGAAATACCTTCAAGTTCCTAATGAAAGCCTACTTTGGAGCTATTCAGCATGGTCAATCAATAGAGAATTTGATTGCTTACTCAATCTGAAGGAGTTTCTCAACCCATTATATTAACCCACGATACCCACATGGCCCTGCCAAGTAGCAGTGTCTCTACATCCCTTCTAATATTCTGACTTACATTTTTTTATTGTTTAAAGTGAAAGTGAACAGTTACAGCAGGTTTCAGTGAATGAAGTTCTGGAGGATGTCAGATGTTAAAGGGAATCTGAGTAAGCAGGACTGTCTATTTAGCGTCCTGCAGATATCTGTGCCATGGCACTGGACAGCTGTCTTAAAAATGATGCAGTTTACACTTAGCTGCCTTTCTGTTCAGGAAAAATGAGTAAAACATCGCAGTTTAGGCATGTGGGGCACTTCAGTGTTGTCCTCTGCTCAATTCATGGTATGAGCAAGGTCACACGAAGCAGTTCAGTGCTTCTTGCAGTAATACAACTCCATGTGGAAGACTTGATTCAGATTTGAGTTTGCCAAAGTCTTCCATAGAGGCTGGTGTTGGGCACAACACAGCAGCCCTTGCTCTGCCAGAGCCATAGGTAATGCTGTGTAATACAATTGTGTTAGGATGAAAGTGGGGATCATGATTTGCAACTGTTCGCTGTGTACCAGAACCATTGGGAACAGTATCTTTTACTCTGCATACTCAGGGCATTTTTCATTTCAGTTTATTTACCTTTGTCTTTAATTTTCTTGGTGTCTTTCTTCCCTTTTCCTGGGTATAATGTTTTCGCGTACAGATGTCTCCTCGCTCTGCCCGGCGACGTTGGTCCATACAAGCAATTAACGACTTCCCGGTACTGTGTGCTGTGCTAATACTGTCCTTGATATGACCCTGTCTTCTGCCCAAGGGCCCAAGAATAAAATGCCACCTGCCTGCCTTTGAGTAACCTGCACAGAGTTGGGGGACTCGCACTCCACGCAGGGCCTAGGGCTTCACAAGAGCAGATGCACGTGTAAGTGGGCAGGAGCAGACAGTAGTTTGCAGGGTGCAAGTTCTGACCTAGAGGATGCCTGTTTCACCTGGCCTTGTGGTCAGGAAAGGATGCCAAGGGGTAATTTGAAGTGTAAGAGAAGATTAACCTCTAAGAAACAGAGTGAACTGTAGAGGAGCTGAGTGATTATTATACATCATCAACCAACTGATGAGACTGATATTAGAGCACCTAATTTCTGAAAAGACGAAGCCTTGCTGGAGAGGGAGAGAGGATCACTTAAGAGCTGTGGAAGAAGCAAACTGGTTGAGTTTCTGACAACAATCTGTCATCTTATTAAAATGAACTGCCACTTCTCAGTGCAATCCATCACACAGTCTTATATCCTGGGTCAAAAAATACAGTTTCTTCTTAACTTGTGATCTTCTCCCAGCCCTTTGAATGCAGGGTGGTGCAACTCTTTTAGAGTGGTTGCACTTCAGCCACCCTGGCAAGTTCTCTCTCCTCCTGGCACCTGCCCTGCCAAGTCTGCTTTGACAATTGTTTTCTGATAGTCAGGTCCACGTGTCCCTCAAACTCCAACATCATTCATGAACATCTTGATGATATCGGGATTGCTCAAGCTGTGCTGGACATGCGGGCACTTACTATTTCATCACTCATCTCCCAAGCATAGACAAAGCTCAGAAAACTCAATTTCAATTTAAAGATGATCTCTTTAAGTCTGTTTGTCTTAATGTCTGTACAAACAACTGTTTTTTCACAGCTGCTGTCCTTCATGTTATCTCTTCATAAGACAGCAGGGAATAAAATAGAATCCTGTAACACCTAATTTAACTTGGTATAATAGGATCAAATTTTTGTAATTACAACAGAGGCTAAGACTGTACTAGCAAATAATAGGTGAAAGAAACCAGAAGTAATTTACTTGACTCGATCAAGGCTTTTGGCAAAAAGCTTTGTGAGCAGCAGAGGCAAGAAATGAAGTTCTGTCTTGAATCAGGAGCAGACTGAAAGAAAGAAAATCAAGCAATGAACTTGCCAGCTTGTGTGGTAAATTGCAGAGCACAAAGGCCACAGTTTAATTTACAATTATCTCTGTCCTGGAAGGAAGAGCAAGAAGTGATGTGATAAAGTTATAATTTTCTGTAACATATATTTAAAAGTGGTACAGGGGTTAGTCCAAGCCTTGAAGGATTGATTGTATTTGTGGATAACCTTTGGAAGAGGCTAAACTGACTCTCTAAAGGGGGCAGCAGTGCCTAAGGTGAAGACACAGGCATACACAAGGAGAGGTATAGGTTATTAGTGCAAATCATGTGCCTTCCTTCTGGAAGAAGAGCTCGGTATTGCTCAAGGTGTTTGGGGAAGCAAGAGCTTAGCAAGTTTATAAGGAGCAATAATTCCTCTTTCTAGCCTCCTCTTCTGAAGTGCCCATCCTTCAGGGCAGGTGCCAGCTATTGATTGATGGAAGCTATAAAGACATACTCTTGCTGTGGGGCACTTGATTCAAAAGGGCCTTGGATTTTTTAGTGCCTTTGTGGCAGGTGCCTGATACTGTGGGAGATGCTGGAAATAGTAAATATTTATTATTTTGAAGAGAAAATCCAGGCAGTACTGCATGAGCCACACGCGGGAGTTAATCTGTAGGCAGTTGTTTAGAATAAAGGAGCATAGCATTCTACAGGGAGAAAGCAATTTTTGCATTTTATTTAAAAAAATATGAGAAGCAGCTTGAACCTGACTTGAGCAGATTTAACTATTTTGTACATGGCTTACTGCAGTTTAATCTCTTGTCATTAAGTCCATTCTCTTTTTGTTCACAACCTTTGCCTTTGCCCTACTAATGCCAGTTATACCACAAACCCTGAAATTTTGCATATGCTGATGTGAAACAGGCACTTTACATTTCAGGATCTTTCTTAAAGCACTGCCTGCCTCAGCAGGATCCAAAGGCATACACACCCAAGTGTTCAGCATCCTTTCCAAGCGGGCAGCATTTTGCAACTCCTGCTGCTGAGTATGCAGTGATGATGGTGGTTGCTACAAAGCAGTTGGTGGCTTATTCTTGGGCTATCTGTTTCTACATGTAACCCATTTACTGCCATCGTTATCACCTCAGATTGCAGCAAATTACAGCCTTGGGTATAGTAGTGCAGGTGCAGGCTGGCTTTTTTAGTCATTATTCAGTGCTGTTCCCTGCTGTCACCTCCAACCCCATGATTGCCATAAATGCTCTGGTTTCTTTCCTACTCGTGCTCTGAGGAACTGATGAGTCTTAATTTACTTATCACTGTAGCTATTTTCTTTCGTATCTTCCTCTCATTAAACTGAGGAGCAGCTGGGTAGATGCAGTTCTCCTTGGCATGGATTCTAGGTTTCAGGAAGAGCTAGAAATGTCATGGGCAGTGCAGAAGACCTGTGTCTTTGTCCTTCAGCTGCCAGCAGCTAGCTTGGTGCATGTTGATTTCTGCTTCAGCTCCAAATGTTATGTTCCCTGCTGCCCATCCTGACCTGTGCTCCAGCCCCTAGAAAGAGATGTGTTTTCTGCTCTACCCTAATGCCCCTGAGCCTTGGTGACGCCTTTTGATTACACCATAGTGGGAGCTTCTCCTGGGAGAAGAGGTGGAATTGGAGGGAGGTGGAACTTGGCCAGACAAACCCAACCTAAAGCTTTCTTTGTCTCTGGTAATCCCTATTAAAAGCACTCAAATACTGCCTGGTGGAGAGCTACTCCTGTAATTAACACCAGCAATTATTGGATTCAAAGTAGAGTGTCTGTTTTCAATGGTGATGAACTTTACCCTATCCATGATGGTTCTCATACTTCTGATTGTGGGTTTTTTCCTAACTCTTGCTGTAGCTGAGGTAAACCTGAATTGTAGAAAACCCAGACTTTTTTAATGGTGACTCTTTTTCGTTTTATGATTTTTAGCTTTGTAGCTTTATGTTTTTTTCCTGTCACAGCTTTAGGAGCTGGAATTGGTGGACATGGAAGTGTAGTACAGGCAGGGCCTGTGGTCATCAGCTAACTCCACTCCTGGAGCCGCACCGGTAAAGAATTAGGGTTTCCTTTTTTGCCAGTAAATAAGCAGAGTTAAAAGGAAGAAAACAGGACAATATTGGGTTTGAGTCCAGGTATTCAGGGGTTTCTGATACATTTAGTGTTTCCATTTGTCTGGTGATATGCTAAAAGCAAGCAGTGGAAACCATTCATGAGAGCTCTTTTTCATTCTCATCTTCATTTGTTGTCATTCTCCAAAAAAAAAAAAAAAAAGAGCCAGTTGCCTGTGGAAAATGATATGTGTTGTCCATGTTTCTAGTCTTGAAATGCCTGTGGGGAGGCTTCTTCAGTCTGCTCTTGCAGGGGGCAGGAGCAGGTTGAATCTGTTTCCAAACACTGGGCAGAGGGAGATCTCCATCAACTGTGAGTCTTGGGGCCAATTGGCTTACAGATGGTCAGGAGGTGGCAAGTTGCTCTCCAAATTACCTGCCAGGCTCTAGAAGCTCTTGTTGATAGCCCACAGAATGTGGTTCTGTGTTGGCAGGCCTGGGCTCAAACACCTGCTCAGACACAGCACAAATACAGCTTTTGCTGTGAGAAGCCTGGTAGCCCTTCCAGGACAATGCCTGAGCTCTTTCCTTCTGGCATGTCATTGTTCTGGGGCTCCCAAGCTTTGCTCATACACTGATTTTAGTAGCATCAGCAGCTCCTCACCACACCTGTGAGACAGCATTTGCTGCCCTGAGAAGGAATGAGGTACAGGTGCCACTGTCACTTGGGTGCCTGGTTGTAATACAGCCTCCTGCATAGTGCTTTTCAACTTCAGGGGACAGATAAGAACTGCAGGCAGATTCCTCTTCGTTGAATTAGGATTTGAAGAGATGTGGCAGGGAACTAGTCAGTCAGCTTTTTCAGAGAACTGGATGCTGACAGTCCTGTTTCTACAAGTGTTTCACCCCTCTGAATGTTTGGCACCATGCAAGCTCTGCTCTTCTTTACTCAGTGGAGTGGTGGACGATCAGGGGAATGGTGATGCTGTGTAACATGGGCATCCCTGGAAAAACCCACCTTTGCCTCCTTTGAGGTGGAAATGCCTTCTTCACTTACTGTCAAGCTGGAGCCACTGATCCTCAGCTGTGCAGTGTTCAGAGAGGCTTCAGGAGATTCTGTTTTGCTTCTTGTGGCATGTTTTAGTAGTATGATCAGGGTGGCAGGACCTCCTCAGCACACTGGCCTAAGCTTGGGCCAGGCAGGCAGTGACATTTCTTAAGGTCATGAGTAGTTTTTGAAGGACATTTTGTGTCTGATAAGCCTGCCCAGGTTTTCACAGGACTGTATGGTCATGGTCAAAAGCCATTTGGCACTCAGCCATCACACAGCTGGCCTCACACCCACAGTAAAGGTGACCCTGCTTGCAGATCCAAGTCCTACCTTTCCTGTATCCCGGTCTGCTCTTTAGGAGAACCAATGTGAGCCTGTGTGAGCTGTGTCTGCCCTACAGAGCCATCAGCATAGCCTTGCTGACCTCTTGGGAGAGGGGCTGTTCTGCTTTGAGATGTGGGGAAGCCACAGCATGAGTGCCCCAGGAGAGCCTCCCGAACCCAGCATGACCAGGCGCTTCTGTGTGGGTCCGTCACTCTGTGTGGCAGTGAGGGAACACGCCATGAGAGAGCAGCATTGCAAAGCATTGGAACCCTGCATAGCAGCCAGTGCTTCCTTCAGTAGAGCTCCAGTGCCTTCTGCCTGTTGCTGCCACACGTCCTCTCATCCCTCCTCCTCACTCTTGTAGAGCAAAGAGCTGGAAGAGGTCAGGATACCAGACAAATACTCTATAGTGTTTCACACAGCCAAGCAAGCTTTATGCTTTAGGCAGCTTGGCTTTAAGATGTCCTCTGTGTCTGTTACAGGGAGTATTTGGGAATCTTGGCTTCTTGTTTCTGTTCCCTTCGTTGGTTCCTCTCCTTTCTTCTCCCCCTCTTATATCCTGAGCCAGCTGTAAGTAGCTGTGAGCATGATAGCTAGGGATCCTTGCTAGGAAAACTTGGGCCCTGCTTTATCACCTGCCAGTTGTTTGTTTGAAGCTGTTGATAAAGCATTACGTGGGAGCCCTGTGCTGGCACTGAACAGGGCTGTTCTCATCCTGAGAGGGCAGACCTAGAGACAGTCTGGAGCTGTGGGCTCGCCCTGAGGCGAAGGGCGAGCAGCAGCTGCCTCCAGCATGTCTCTGTGCTGACACTGGCTGAAGTCAGCAGTGGTCCATCTGCAAAGGGTTCCCAGAGAATGAGAACTAAACCGTCTTCCTGCCAAACTTGCCCAGGTTTGATTGGCATCCTGAAGCTGATTTATTCTATTACTGGCTTTCACGGGGAAACTCACAAAATACTTTTTGAGTGAGTTTGACCTTGAGCTCGCTGCCTTGACCTGCTTTTCACTTCCTACAGATGGAGATGCTTGTTCTCCTGGGCATGTCATGGATGTTTTCCAGGGTAACAGAGAGCCTTCTAAAAGGCAGGTTTGGGTGCTGCTTGCATTATTCCTGACCCTAGTGCTTTGTTCCCCGTCCCAAGCAGCCCACTGTCCTCTTCCCCAGTAACACTGCCATTTGTTCTGCAGAAATCAAGGAGGTGGAAAAGCAAACGAGAGGGGACAGATACCAACAACCGACCCATCAAGGCTGCTGGCAAAGTTATTATCCAAGATATTTCCTGCTTGCTGCCTGTCCACAAGCTGCTGGGAGAGCTCTACATGTGAGTACATGTGGGCGGTCATCCCTTCCCAAATGAAAGTAGCTGTCTTCGGCATTGCTGTGCTTTAATCCTGGCATCAGTCAGCATGGATGCAGGATCCATGAATATTTCTCTGCCTTCTTCCTCTGTTCTTGCCTCATTGTTTTTTTTTGTATCCCTCTTCCTGGGAGAGGGGTTTACCTGTCTCCTGTAAATCTGAAAAGTGTGAGGGAAGAATTTTGTGATGAGGTGTGGTCAACAGAGTTTGAAGCGGTGCTTCAGTCTTGTCACTCCAAATGTTACGGGTTCCGATTTTCACCTGCTAACAAGAGAAATTCTTTTTCAAATCTCATGTTAAATCTACAGGCTTAAAAACCTCAGTAAATGCACATTTTCATTCTGTAAAACTATTAATAGCTTACAAAGCTTTTTAATTTCAGAAGTATTTTATGTGTTCCCACTTGGTTGTACATGTCTGTTCTGCAAGTTGTTCGGTGTTAATGGAAAGGATGGAGTTCTGTGGGTATTTTTGTGTTTTTGTTGTTTTTGGTTTTGATTTTTTTAACAAAGGGCTTCCTTTTTCCAGACTTTCTAAATTACATGGTTACAAAACCTCTGTTCCTGAATTTTTTCTTTCGTAAGTTTGGTAATAGTGGCTGGTCCTTAATGGAATTTCCAGTCTATGGACATTCAGGGGAGATGTAGTTTTCCTTTCTGAGGAAAGAAAGAGAGGAAAGAAACCCTTCTTTCTCTCCCTTTCTGTGTTATTTTCAAAAATATTCTTTTAAAAAACCTGTTGGACCTTTCTTCGTGGGACATCTTGTGTAAACAGCCCTAAATCAGTCCCAGCTAGTGTGGAGTTGGACTCAATGTGTGGTGTATTAGCAAAAATGAATAGCGGGAGGAGGATGGCAGTGATCCCTGAATAACAGAGAAGGATGGGAGGGGATCCTGGCCATGCAAAGAGGCTCATATTGATCAGGAGGTTCTGGGCTGCTCACTGCTACTAGAGCCACATTCCCCCTTCCCCACCATTCCTCCCCACCTTTGTAGGTAATGTGCCAGTCAGAGCTGAGTTACCTCCTTTCTTTTCAGACTGAACGTGAATAACATCCAGGAGACTTGCCAGAAGAATGCTGCCTCAGCCTTGGCAGTGGGGCGGAGGGATCTCGTACAGGTACACCATGGAGCCAGACCTCTTCCTCAGCATGCTGTGCTACTCTCCAGTGGCTTGTGCTGTCACTCACACCCAAGTGGGATTCAGCAGCTCTGTCAGGGAGTCTCTGGTTGGTGAACCAGCGGGTTGAATGGCCACCAAGGTGGTCCCCACCTCGCTGACTCTGGGCATCAAGACTTTCCTTCCCAGGACTGCACACAGATTCTGTTATGCCCTTTGCCAAACTGAGTGAAACACATTTTTCAGGGAATTCCTGTAGGCAAAGTGAGGAATGCAGCCTGCTCTTGAGTCATCAAATGGAGTAACTGTGCACAGAGTTGGCTAGCTGCTGTCAGCATTTTGATCCATAATTTTTTTCATACTTATGTAATTGTTCCCATTGTTTGGCATTCATCTGTGTTGGCATTGAGTCCTAACTGCAGCTGTCTTCTCCCAAGAGAGCCTGGGCCCAGGGGCTCCAAAATGGGGCTGGCTATTTGCCTTCAGATAAAAAGAGGAGAAAAATGGCTATTGTGGCCCATGTTTTTCCCTGTGATTAGTCCATTGCAATAGGCAGAACATTTGACAGGACATGGGAACACCTGAAAGAGATGGGAATTGGCAGTGCCACAGGAGCTGTGCACATCTCCTCAGCATTTGGCTCTAACTAGAGCTGGACAGGCAACATGCATAGGCTTACCTGATCTAGGCAGAAGCTGACTCAAGCTGTTGTCTTGCTTCTTGGTGGGTTCTGCAACACTAGCAGAAAGTAGGTCTAGTTCCCCTTCATCTGTTCTTCCTCTTGCAGTCTGGTTTGTCCACATTGGACCAGAGTATGGGTGGAGTAACTTCAGCAAGATTTCTCTGAGATAACTCTGTTTCTTGCTTGATTTTCCCTGTTCCTTGTAACTCCAGTCCATAGTGCAGCTCACAGCAGACATGCAGGCTTGAGTTGCAGTTTATAGGTTTGATGTGCTCTATAGCAGTGTAGGAAGTGGCATCTTTCCTGTTACCTTTCTGTGCACTCTCTTACTCAGCCCAGTCCTTGTTTTGGTTTCTCTTCTGTTGCTCTCTCTGGTTTCACGGGGAGCAGCTTTGGGACTATTTTTTCTGGCTGTTTGTTCTTTGTACTTGGAGCACGTGGTTTTACTTTGTTGTCCATGTTGTCAGCGCTCTGATTTCTGATGGTTTTTTTGCACACTCTTTTTCCTTTCCTGCTCTTTTTTTTTGTGCTAAACTAGGGGCTTTCCTTTTCCCTAGAATATTCTAACTGTCCCATTTTTCTAGGCACAGCAGAAAAAACAGTCCTAGATCAGTGGTATAGAGACTGACAAGATGGAACCATTTTCAGAGTAGAGGATGATAAATGAATGAGAAATTTCATGTGGTTAAACTCTGAAGTAGAAAAGGCAAACAGTGTCCTGTCTGTGCCAGGCTGCATGAGGAGAATTGTGCTCAGTGACACCACTAATGAACAAATACTTCTCATGCAAATGATTTACCAGTAAACTTTCTGCCACCAGACATCTCTGAACCCAAGAACTGTATCAAATCTAAACGCTTTTGAGGTTTGTGAATATAAAATGCACTAATAAACTATAGACTGTTCAGCTTTTGTGTTTTACCCAAACACAAAGCAAGTGGGACAGGGAAAGCTTTGGTTTTGTGTTATTCTCTGTCTTATTTGTGACACAGAGACCGAAACTGTTCCCTGCTGTCAGGGGAAAAAAAAAACCAACAAAAAACAAACCCAAAACAGACAAGCTCCATTATTATCTGTCTGTCTATGTGTGAATTTGTGCACACCTATGCCCTGGGAGTGTGGTTAATCCTAATTGTAGCTTTACTGCTTTTCCTTCCTGTCTGCCAGGTTTGGTCACTGGCCATGGTAGCCACTGATCTCTGTCTTGGACCGAAGTCTGACCCAGATTTAGAGATACCTTGGGCACAACATCCATTTGGACGTCAATTACTGGAGTCCTTGTACGTGTCTGAATGCTGGGGAGGGGTTGGGGAATGGTTGCTGAAGCAGAGGCCTCCCTAACTATCTGTATGTAAGGGGTTATTTCAGATTTGGGGTAGTGCCACGGCATGGGTTTTTTTTCCCCTCTCAAGCCTGTGATGCATCACAAAGGGAAATTCCAAATGTGTTTCTGGCATAGAGGAGGCAGCCCTTGACCTTCCACTTATCACTCAGGTCTTCCTTGGCCAGCATTGAGCAACAGGCCAGGCATAGGTGGAGCACTACTTTCCATGCCCACAATGCCTGACTTGGAGATTTGGGTTTCCTGCTCCCCACTAAATGAGCCTGTTGGTGCAGCACCTTTTTCCCACTTTCTGATTCCCTGTTGTCACCTAACTTTACTGGGAAGTTGTTCCAGTGGCTTCAAAGTCAAGTGTTAGCTACAAATGTCTTCCAAGTGGTGAATCTACTCAGGAGGGCACATAATTAATAACTATTATTTGTTGATCTACACTGTTTGGAAGTGCAGGATTTGTGTGCTGTGCTTTCCATACAGTTGCTTGGCTGAGCTCTCTCCTGCTGCATGACAGCAGTGGGAGCACAGCACAGCTTGTTCTTTATCACTCTCAGCCTTCAGAGCAAACTGGAAAATTCCTAGCCTTCTAGAAAACCTGCAGCTGCCTTTTGCCTTGTGATCCAGGTGCAGGATGCTTGCACCCAGATGGCTTTGTCAAAAAGATATTATGGCTGGGAGTGAGTCTAATGGCGCCAGCATTACATCTGAGCCCAAGTACCGGTGGATTCCCAGAGCTCATATCCTTCTCCCACCAGTTAGGGCATGAGTGTTTTCAGAAGGAGAACTTGGCTTCTCAAAGGTGTGACAGAAAAGCCAACCCAGTCCCTCAGTGCACATCTCCTTTGGGCAGTCATAGCACCAAAACCTACAGGCTATGCAACAGGCTTGAAATTAGCTGTCCTCGAGTCTCACTGGTTTTGCCATTGAATTCTGCTCAGTCTCACAATGTCTTTTTCATTTCCCAGGCTTGCTCATTACTCACAGCTTCATGATGTACAGACCCTGGCCATGCTCTGCAGTGTGTTTGAAGCCCAGTCAAGGCTCCAGGGGTGCCCCAACTCTTGTGTCCCCTTTCCTCAGCGCGCCTCCAACCTGGCCTCCCACAGCCGATATGTAAGATTGTCACTTCTCTCCCATTTGTTTTGGATATCTTTGAATGTCTCTCACATAGATGACATGTTTTATTCTCCTTTCCCCCTCAACAGCCCAGCTTTACTTCCTCCGGCTCCTGTTCCAGCATGTCAGATCCTGGGATTGGCACTGGAGGCTGGAGCATAGGTATGAGTCCTGGCTAGTAAATAAAGGAATCTCACACCCTTCTGGCCAAGGTTTTAGATGGCTCCCATGGTGGGGAAAGGAGGGAGTTAGTACTGGCTATGATTGCAGATGTGTTCTGCCAGAGCAGCTCTGTGGAGTTTGACCAGCATGGTGTGACTCCATGGCTGGAAGTGAGCAGGCTTTGCAGTATCTGTGTTGAGGCTCCTGCAGTCCTGCACCTTCTGATTTCAGTAGGTACTTCATTCAGTGAGTATTGAAAATGGCCTCAAAATTAGCCAGCTAATTCCACAGGGCTCAGGGGAAAAGTAGTACTGGGCCTTCTCTCACTAGAAAAAACGCAGCAGTTAGAAAGACTGGGTTCTTGGTGCCCTGAATATTCACAGAAGTTTTTCAGTGTGACAAAGGTGACAATGGGGGGCTCTGGTGTCAGAGTTGAAAATTTTTGCAGATTCCTAGTGATATACACGGCCTGGGGTAGCATATCAGCCCTGTTAGCACCACATCTGTAACTTTTCAGTGTGATATCAAGGCACGTGTGACATGGGGAAGAGGAGAGGATGGGGTTTAGGGGAGCGGATAATCTTTTGTAGCAGTTATTAGCAGTCATCTCCCTTCCCCCAGGGCAGTACTTTGCATGCAGAGGCCCCTTTACGTAATAACAACAGTCCTGGTGATGAGAGTCCTCCCTGTCTCAGGGAGGAAGGAGGAACCCAGGTCCGCCTGGGAAAATGTTCCCAAGCAAACTCCATGGAATTGATTGCCAGGTTACTTTTTGTCTAAAGCAGAAGGCAAAAGGGATTCCTCCACATCAGATTTCTCTGCCTGGTGATCCCTATTAAGTCCTGTCACCAAAAGTGTAGTAGAAGCACTTGGCAAGTAGAGGCTGGCACTTACATCTTGGAGGTGGGGCAGTATTTGTTGGAGTGCAGAGGGTGGTAGGACAGAGATAGGACTGAAATGTGGAGGTGCAAACCTGTGGTCTTTCATGTCCCTTCCTGACCCCAGTTTTGAGCGGGGAGATGCACTCACAGCCTCTTGGTGTTTGCAGCAAACAAAGACACGGAGCAGACCTCCACTCCCTGGTGCGAATCTTCTCCGGATGACTTTCGCTATGGAAACCTAATGTATCCTGACCATCGGGAGCGGGAGAAGGACCAGCATGAGAAAAACAAAAGGTAGGTTATTATGGGCCTCGAGGGTATTCAGAGATGCCTTACTTGCAGCACAGTCATATGGAACTTTGTGGCCAGGTCTCTCATGGTGCTGTGCAGTATCAGACCTGCCTCTAGACCTTGTCATTCACACAATTACTTGAAGAAGCATTATCCTGCAGATCAACGCTGCTTGGATTACACATGATGCATCCCTAAGAAGCCATGGTGGGGGCCCCAAAGGACCCACCCACAGAATGTGCACCCTGGAATGTAGAACAAGTCAAGGCCAGAGTAGTTTGTGTTCAGCAATGTTTCAGCAACCTGTGAGAAGTGCCCTGCTGCATTTCCAGCAATGTGAACTGGTTGCATAGCCACCACTGGACAGAGGATAGCAACCAGAGTCTCTGCGAGTCAGTCAGTTACAAGCCTGTTTGTTCCTCTAGGCTGCTGGATCCTGCCAATACTCAGCAATTTGATGACTTCAAGAAGTGCTATGGAGAAATCCTTTATCGCTGGGGCCTGCGAGAGAAGCGGGCTGAGGTTCTGAAGTTTGTCTCATGTCCTCCTGATCCCCACAAGGGAATTGGTGAGTGTCTGGTCCAGTTGCCCAGGCAGAGCCACAGCTCTGCCTCGGGAGCTTAGGAATGTGCAGTCTGCAGGGCAGGATGTGTCATGGACAGAATGGACAAAGTTTATCTGAGAAACCCACCCAGGGGAGTCACAAAGGTTTAAAATTCTTATATAGGTGTAATTAAACATTGGTACAAATTGTTCCACAGGGTTAATGATGGCAAACCTATTATTTAATATGAATAAAATATGAAGAGTTTATTTAAATTTATGAATATAATGATAATCATTAGACTGAAAAGGCCTTAATCAGAATTACTTACCACACAGTATAGAAAATTAAAACTAGTAATACAACACACTGGTTATTAAATAAATAATATTGAAGCTAGCTTAATAATTATCAGGTCGACACTGATGTTTACCCATAGCAATGACCATGGGCAAATCTCCCTCACTCAGCTTTGAGGATTGACCTTGATGGGTGTACCCAAGGGTAAGGATCCTCACACACACCTAAGGGAGGTGTGTTAAAATTTTTCCCCATTTAAAATTGGAACTGGTCTTTATGGTATGAAGTGATTGACTGTCAGTCACACCATTTTAGATAAAATGTTGCCTTGCCTGCTCAACAGAACGTGCTTTATTTTTGAGTAAGATGCTATCAGCTCTTTGGTTTCTTCTTCTGTAAACATCTGCCTCTCCCTTCCCTACCAGGCCTTTCACATCTCTGTTGATGCCAGCCTTGATGAGGGAGCATTTGCCCTACCTATCCACGTGATGGGTCTAATTTGGGGTAGTGTGATCAAGCTGGTTTCAGCATTCAGCACTAAGAGCAGCAGCCCCCCCTGCTCAATCCATCACCAATAGCTTGCAAGTAAAGCAAAATCCAAGCTGTTTTACTCTTGCTTAGACAGAGCATCCTGCTACATAGATAAAGTGTCCATTGGTTACTGAAATATCACTGCAAATGTAGCATTTAACCTCTGACAGAGGTTAGCTCTTCCAGTAAATGGGATTGACTTCTTCACAGTTCTGGGTGGAGGTAAGGCTCACAGGTGTTGGTTAAAGGGCTTTGTAGACTGTAACATCTCTCCAGGAAAGCTGAAAAATTCACATACTGCCATGCCAGCAATGCGCAGCTCTGTGCTGACGAATGTCCTTCATTCCTTCTGAGATGTCCTGTCTTCATCTCTGATCCTGGGCTGAAGTGTCCTTATGCTAGAATTGCAAGATCTCTAACTAGGTGAGCTAGCCAGCAAATAGGTAAAGAGAACTTCTCTCCTTGAATACTTTCAGCAGTGTAGATACCCAGCTTAAAAACAGCTTCCAAATTGTCTTCTTCACAGACCTCTGGGAACAGATGTGCTTGACCTGGGGGAAGAAAAACAGGTGAAGGATGCTAGAGACATAGCAGTAGTCTCACCTTGTCACCCAGGACAACTTCTGGGGAGTAACTGGAGTGAAAACAGGTGCCCATGGCCTTTGCCTCTCCATGGCTGACAGTCTGATCCAGGGGGCATCAGGTGGGCTCTCTGATGAGAAATGGAGACTCTCCTTGCTTGCTTAGTGACACTTCCTGGTGGTAAGAGGTGGATGAGAACAGCAGGAAGCCTTAACGAGTCAGTGTCTCCAAAGCTTGAAATCCAACCCACATTTCCAGCAGACAGCTGTAGCCATCCAGGGGAATTGGTGGGCCAGTTCAGTGCCTCAGTGCTCCGGTTGCCCGTTCGTTTAATTGCATATGGGGAACAAACCAAGTTCTCTGAACACCATCCACTCTCCCACCCTGATGGAGCTTTGAGGCAGTTTAAGGGGCTCATCTGCTGAGCAAGGGGCTGCATGCAGGACTGCTTTGTCCATGATTCTGCCAGCACTAACGGCGTGTTCCCTCCGGCAGAGTTCGGCGTGTACTGCAGCCACTGCCGCAGCGAGGTGCGCGGCACCCAGTGCGCCGTCTGCAAGGGCTTCACCTTCCAGTGCGCCATCTGCCACGTGGCCGTGCGGGGCTCCTCCAATTTCTGCCTGACCTGCGGACATGGAGGCCACACCAGCCACATGATGGAATGGTTTCGCACCCAGGAGGTCTGTCCCACGGGCTGTGGGTGCCACTGCCTGCTCGAGAGCACCTTCTGAGCAGTGGGGACAGCGGGCCACCCAGGAACTGATTGAATATTTAATTCCCAAGACATGTTGAGTCAGTTCTGCTCCTCTCTGTCTGGAGGAGATCACCACAAGGAGCTGAAGCAGGACGTCCTGGTAATGTGCTGTGGTGATGTTTACAAGTGCTTCCATTACTCCTACGCTTCCCAGGTTGCTTCCAGACCAATTTGACCAAATTCCCTGTGTCCATTGCTGGCAATGGATGCCAGACCAGAAAAATCACTCTCTCCTGCAGAAGGGTGTGTGAATAATATTGGTTAGTTTGGGATTAAGAGGTTTTTGAAAGCTCCCCTGGAAAGGGCCCACCTGGCAGAGCCAAACTTGTTCCAGCAATGTAGAGTCTTTTCCAGGTGCCTCCTTACATGGGCTCAAACTGAGCAAAACAGTTGTTTTACACAATTAAAGCAGAAATAATTCTCAAGCAACAGTAAGTTCTAAAGGTGAGTTGTAAATGGTGCTTGAAGAGGAAATAGTCCATGGAACTGTGCTCAGAGTTTCTCTGGAAGCAGCAGAGTCCTTATTTTGAATGGGTGTTTACATTGTTTAGTTTTCCCCACAAAGCAAGAGAAGGAAATGGCATTTTTCAGGATTACTTCTTAAGTAGATTTCTGCTCACTAGTCAGTACCTGTAAAAAGCCCAGACAAGCACCCAAGGTCCCTGGGATTAGTTGCTTCCAGCAGTTTTAGTACTGTTAGGCTTTAAAGTGTCTTCATCTCCTGCTCTGACCAGGTCATAAAATGCACTTTAACTTGTCCCTATCTTGTTGGTGACACTTCCTGGTGACTGGGAAAGGCCTTTTGAGTTTGGGATCTACACTGTCTTTCTACAGATGTGTTGCTTTGGAAAGCCTTTTCTCCCTCACTGAGAAAACACAGAGGACACATACTCCGTACAGCTCCTTTTGGCTGTTGTCTCCAGGCACTATGGGAAAAATTATGGGCAATTTGAGATTTGCTGCTGCTGAAGTGACAAGGCTCTTGAACAGGGAGGAAGCAGCAGTTTCTACGGAAAAGGGGGTTTGGAAGAAAGGTGGGATTCACAGAGGCAAAAGGTTTATGACTTTTCTTACTGTGGAGCATCAACTGGAGAATGTACTGATGGATCTGTCTGTTAGGGGCTGTGCCTGCAGGGCACTCCCAGTGCAGGGACACTGCTGTGCACTGTGTGCACACCTGGAATGTGCAGCCTCTGCCTCTCCAGGGCTGGCTTCAGCCTGAGCTTTGGATTTGAGCGAATGTGTGGACAGGGATGAGCAAGCTGGAGCTACCCACACCTGTACCAGCTCTGATCCCTTCTTTCATGCTTGCCTGCTGAGTGGGGCCACGTGCCATGCCCATTCCCAACCCCTGTGCTAGCTCAGGCTGTGGGATCTTGCTGTGGAATAAACAGATGATGTATCTTAAACAACTAAAACATTAAAATTATTTTTTTTTAAGCCCTGGTCTCATAGAATGTGGTGTTGCTCTGATGGCTCTCCCTTTGTGGGGAGCCCCCAGCATCTCTTCCTCCCAGTGGGTGGTGAGTGTTGCACCCATGGCCCTCGCCCTGCACCCCAAAGCAGGGGGCTCGGTGGTAGCTGAGGGGTCGCTGTGTCCCCCAGCCCTGGCTGGGACAATGTGCTGACACCTGCCACACCTGCCTGGGAACAGACAGGGAGCTGCCCGCGCTTGTGAGACTCCCCTTGGGAAAGTGAAGCCGGGCGGCGTCTGAGCTGCGGGCAAACCAAAGCCCACATCCTGCATCTCGGGGCGGCCCTGGGCAGCGTCTGCCCCCAGGAAAGCAGGAGGCTGCAGCGGGGTCCTGCCCGGCGCCGCCGCAGCCCCAGGGCCAGGCCGCTCCTTGCCAGGAGCTGCAGGGAGAGGCCTCCCGCCCTCCGCCTCCCTACGTGACAGACATTCAGCTTGGAAGTATTTTCATTTCCATGCTTGAGTGCTCCTGTAGCTTGGAAGGGAAAGGAGATTTGTTATTTAAAGGTGACGGACCGACAAATCGTGGTATTTAGTGTGTTATTACAGTCCATTACGGTCCATCTCTGTAGTATGTGAATGCCCCTGAGGCGGAGCACGGCCGGCACTTCAGAGGAAGGCGGAAAAGCCCTTGCCGTGGCTGTTTGTGCAGCCCTGCACAGGTATAGGTGGGATTTCTTCCCGGATGCTGCCAGCATTTCTCTCACACCCTGCAGCATGTCTGGTGGCTCCTTTGGGAGCAGCCCCACTCCATGCAGAAGTGATTATTGCAAGGAAACACGAGCGGCTGGTGGTGCCCCACTCCAGCCCCTTCTGTGCTGTGCACCCCCGACTGCCTATCCCCGCATCCCCCTGCGCCTCCAAATAGCTTGCTAAAGTGCAAAAAAGTTCCCCATTGTGGCCAAATCTCGCTCTGGAGTGCAAGCTTTAGAGAAGGGAGAGAAGGCAGGGACTGCTCAGGCAGTGAGTCTGGGCCGGGGTGTGCGCCAGGCCCACTCTAGGGGTGCTGCCATAGTCAAATCAGGTGAATTGAATAGAGCCTTCAGCTGATGCACAGTGCTCAGGAGCGTGGCCAGTCGTGCTGCAGGGGGTGACCCATCCATGGTTTCTGCTGGAGCAGGATCAAGGGGGCACTGGATTAAATAGGCTGCTCTGCACGAGGCAGGAGCTCTCTGCACACTGTGTGGGAGGGGTGTCAAACCACTTCCCTCAGGGCATCACTGGTGCCACGGGTTTGCCAGGACTCCAGGAGTGCTGGACACTGCCAAGGAGAGGAGCTCCATCCCAGGACACCTCTGTCCAGAGAGCCCAGCCAGCAGCGCTCTGCAGAGATGCCCAGGCACCCCACAGCCGCTTTGGCACCCTTCCCAGGTCGGTGCAGAGGAGGATGCCGAGGGCAGAAGACCTTTGGTCCGACCCTGAACAGCTGCTTGCCGCAACTTGCTTCAGCTGGCTGTCAAGTGCATCCCAAGGGCTGTTACCTGTGTATCCATTAGCTTTCCGAAGGATGGGACTAGAAGAGGGAGAGAGCTCCCACAATGCACACTGTGCCCTAAAGGCCACTGTCAGTATTTTAAACCCTATTTGTTTTCCTGCTGAGGGTGTAACAAGCATGGTGTGTCTTCCCTATCCCCACTGAGGGTTTCCATGTGCAGAGAAGGAAGTTTAATCCCTGATAATCAAGTTCGGCAGAGAAACAAGGAGTGTTTAACAGAGAGGGAAGGCCTTTCCCCATGGAAGCAATACCAAGCAGAGTCTGTATTGGTCTCCTCCTCCTTGGCAGCCACAGCTCCATTATCCCAGCATCAGCCCCTCCAGCACTGCAGGGCCTTATCCTGCCCCAAGCCCAGCAGCACATTCCTGCTGTCTCCTGTGTGCCAGCCCCAGCGTCTGTCCGTCTGTCTGGTGGGGAAACCAGTTCAAGAACTGATGAGCCAAAGCCACTTGGCTGCTCTCATTTCAGCCAGGCTGATCAGCAAACCAGCTACACTTCCTGATCCTGCTTGTCCTGGGGATGGCATGGTGCAGGGGCAGGGATGGGGACAGCAGCAGGGACAGGGCCTTGGCACAACCCTCTGCTGCCAATTTGATGCTGTTACACTGGTGTCTGCTGTTCAGTTTAGTCCCAGTACTGTCCCTCTCTCAGTGCCACCTGTGCTCAGTGCATTCCTGCTCTGCAGGTGACAGGGTCCCCCTGCTGCCTGGTTCTCACTGCAAAGCTGGGGATCAGCTCACCCACTGTGGGGACACCCTTGTGCCTTGCACAGGCAGACAGAGCCCCACCACAGCACCCAGCAGGTAACATGGGCAGATGAAGTGTCAGCTCACAAGAGCCTGGCTTATACCCCTGGGGCCTGCTGTGGCACATTTGAGGACCACAGTTCTCTGTGTGCTTGGGAGAGGATGGCAGCAAGGACCCACAGGTCACCTGTCAGCTTTGTGGGCTGGCAAAGGCTGGACCCACCTCTGCCATGAGCTGTGATTACAGAGGGTGGCCCTGGGCAGCCTGTGTCCCCAAAACCCAAGGTAGGGCTGGGCTGCATAGCAAGAGCATCTGGTGGGGACTGTGTGGTGGGGTCATAGCCAGGTGTTCCCTCCATCTCCTCCAGCATCCCATAAAGGGATAGTGGCCATTGCACCTGAGCATGCTTGGGGTCTGGGGTCCCTGGTTTGGGATTGGGTTCAGTGGCCTCCAGCTGAGAGCCCCAGCTCATTCAGATCTTCCTCTGACCCCCACCTTGCCCATATTCTCATAAAAAAATCCTCAGAAGCCACCCTAATGCCCCAGAGAGCTGTGACAAGCCACCCACCACAACGAGGACCACCTTGGCCATTGAGGGTATTGAGGAATCCCCTTGAGAGGGTGTCCCATTCCAGCACCTCATTTGGGGTCTCTCAGCAACCTCTCAGGACATTTCTGGCCCACCCCACCCCCAGAAAATGTTTTTATCCTCCACCCCAAGGGACTCCCAGTGCATCCCAGGTGCCCTGCAGCAGCCTGGCCAGGAGCATGCCCACCCTTAAGCCTTCTGCTACTATCGGGGTGCAAACTCAATCTGCC